AAAATGGCAATCAATATAATATTTTCTTCTCATATCAGATATAAATTATAATATTTATTCCGTTAATATAATTCATAATATAAATAACGATGAAAATAATAATATATTTAGTATTAAAAATAATATAATTATCTATTCGTATCGCCACATAAAATAATTTCTATGAGAATACAAATAATTATCAATGAAATTCATTATATTCATTGTTTCTTCAATAAGCTTGTTTAGAAGAAATTCACATTTAAAAATAATCTTCTAAATTAATCATTATCTTCTAAATTAATTATTTGTTTATAATTCAAAAGAAATTTGAATAAAATTTTCAGAAATTGTTTGCCTCTCTGCCACCCCCTCCGGCCCGGTCGGTCATTTGCGAATACGATACCAAAGCACGATAATTCGAGGGTAGTTTTTCATTTTGTTGTAAAATATTTGATTTCCCCCTATATTTCGCAACACTTTAAAATCCGGTCACAACGTCTGCGCACTCGCACTGTTGCATGCAGGGAATGTGTGCCACAGCCTTAACACAAATACTGCAACAAACAGTGATCTGAAGCAAATGCTCACGACCTCGCGTGTGTGACCTACCTCTTGCTTTCCGANNTCAAGTACAGCCGGGCCGAGGCGGACGACGCGAAGCGGTTAAAATCATCTAGCTGCCTGCTGTCTGTAATGCAACAGCCTGTCGCAAGATTTTCATTTCTTCGCATCTGTTGTGATGAAAGCCATGGTGCCTTGGATGCTGTTCCAAGGACTAGGAACCTCCTCCGAAGAGGCGTGCGGAATAAATCTTGAGTGCCCGACCACCCGCAAGCAGGTCCGGACGTCTTCGGAAGGGCTCGTCGAGATGTCCATATGCCTCCTGATTGCAGAACTTGGTGGGAGCTCAGCGGATCATCGGGAATTCGCAACTAAATCTTGAATAAGCATCAGAGCACGAGATGTACTTTCAGTAGTTTAAGGCTCCTTCCTGACTCCGTGCCTCTAAAGCCGGGCTCCATCTTGTCCGGCTCAGCAGACTTGTGATGCTCAGACTTCCCCCGGCCCCCCCCCCACCAAGCAGCCTTGAACCAGGGCTCGTCTGAGAAGAAGAAGGCTCCAAGCTCGCGGAGGCGCCCTGGCAGGGCTTTCGAGATCTTTGGAGCTTTAGGGTCCGGTGGTTTAGGATTCTATGAAAGGCTTCTGTGGTGAGGTTGCACAAGGGGGCAGATTGGGTTTTCAGAACAGTTGGGGATGCTTGGGATTCGGAAGTTCTGGCTTGCATGCTGTCTTGCAGGGCTGATCCAGGTCGAGAGCTGCATGTCCCAGAGGTTAACATGTGAAAGATCCGCGGGGACACAGCACAGGTTCCGAAAGCCGTGGCCGGTGCACGCTTGTACGGCTCCATGTCATGCATGGCCACAAAGGCGACCTGACAATTGAGTTCTCATCATCTGGTACGTGAGTCTCTGCGACTCTAGCACTCTAGCCGGGGGACCGACCCAACTACCAAAGCTTTGGGGGATTTGGGGGGATTGAAACCATCTTTTTGGATGTTGCTGCACGGGACTCCGACGACCTTCGACCAAGAGTTTCCTTGCAATTCATGATTAACTAGACGCCACTCATACGTGACGCCCGCCTGTGGTAACTTGATCAAGCTCAGCGCCAGGTGGATGGCAAGCTCCCCTTTGGGCCCATCAATGAAGACCTGAAGCTACAAGTACAAAAAAGCTGCAACACTAAACCTCTGAGAAGGTTCAGTATCAAGCAGAACGCAGCAAACCTAAGCTTGACAAAGTAGCTCCAGCTTGCCCACGCCTGGTACAGTAGTGGCACCAACAAGACCACCGCGCACTGATCTTGTAGCACCTTTTTAAGCCCGTAGCCTCATAATACTTAGCCTCATTAATAGTATATCAAAATGTAACAGGATTCCCAAGGGACACGGGTGCAGCCGCTACGCGCTTTGGCCCCGGCTGCCGCCCTGCGGCCGGGTCGGCTGAGGAGCTGAGGCCTTTTGCCAGTCAGGGGTTTAGGCGGTTCAGGGTTGGGAGCTGGGACTCAGGGGTGAGAGGGTCGAGGGCTCAAGGCTGAGGGGTGCATGGCGGAGAGCTGGGCACGAGATCATGTATGGAACAGTACCTGACAAACCCTCAAGTTGTGCACTAAACCCAAGGTAGGGTTGAGGCTTAGAGACCTCAGCAAGCAGCTGTTTTGGCTGTACAAAGCGGCGGCAAGCTTGATGTGTTCACCTACTCCTTTCCATCAAGATGGCAAGCCAAGATCTAGAGTCTGGATGACAGATGCAACCACTGCAAGCCATGTCAATGTGGCAAGGTGAGGCATGAAGGCAGACCAAAGGCCACTGCAACGTGCTGCTAAACACCCAGCCGACAGCCGACGTCGTGCTCTTCGTTCGGTTCCGTTCTCTGCCTCACTCACCTAGCTTAGAATCTCCTTTGCGACTGAGATGGGAACAGCAGCGTGCGGCCATCTCCTGACATCCACGGAGACATGCCGCACCAAGTGAAGCACTGGCACGCGCTCGGATGCAAAAGATCTGCTGGCACCTGATTCTCGTTTTGCTCTTCGGCAATTTCTTCTGCTACCAGTCTAGCAGTGCTCGCGCACTGAGTCGAACCTCGCTTCGGAGAGGATTCTCGACGCTCTACAATGTCGGTGGCACATTTACAAAAGTCACCTGCTTTTGACGTGATCTGTCAAACATGGTAGGGTGCCCCTGCCACCCAAATCAAAATCCTGATTAAGAGATTTGCCAACCTCTCCCTTGGCTGTGGGTTACATGGCTGGTGTGGGCTTGGAGGCCAGCTGAGGAGAACTGTCCTGCGCATTGGCAGACTCCGCGCAACGGAAGAATACGGCAATGCGCAAGAATCTACACGCCGCAAAGCGACAGTCCACAAAAATCACCAGCGAAGCGATATGTGCCAGGGATTGCCAGGGTGTCTGCCTATTGCCCACTTGAGAAGAAGCTGGATCGGGTCAGTATGATGGCGACTCTGGTAAATTTCGGCAAAAGCTGCAATTGATTTGAGTCAATGTTCTTCTTGACCGGTGAGAGTTCGCTGTTATCTCTCAAGGCCAGGTCGTTGCACACATGGTCGTCAGCCGGCTCAGCCGCCTTTGTCCTCACAAAACACGAGTCGCACGCGAAGACCGCGCCCATCGCCAAAACGAAACAGCTCGAAGGCAGACCCTGGCTGAGGCTCGTGGCAGCGAAGGAGCACTACATGCTACAGTATTATAGTATTATTACAGTATTCTGATAGTATAATTATAGTCTTACTATATTATTATTATTATAGCATGATTCTAGCATTATTATAGCATTACTATAGTATTAATATAGTAGTATTATAGTATTATTGTAGTCCGTTATAGTATTTTTTGATTTGGATGGAGAGTTGGTTCCAGAAGGTCTCTTGGGTCTTGCAGCTGCCCTGCTGCGCTCAACTACATGTTGCACCGNNACCCCCCCCCCCCCCCCCCGACTTCCTGTGTGGAGCTCCACATTGCTTCGTCGCTGAAGTCGCTCTTCAGCCTGACTTGCTTGAACATCGTTCCTCTAGCACCTTGCCTTACCCCTACCTCCGTGGCTGCAGTGCATCCCAGCAAGAGCTGCGCTACATGCGAAGCCGTCAAGAACTTCATCACCTGCCAAAACATGAAGCTCCCACCTCTGGTGTCAAGAAGATATCAACAGCCGCCACCTCCTGACACGTGCAGCGAGACCAATTTCGACTGCCTTGGGTGCCGAATGAAGCATGCCGCCTTGGCGAACAGGCTCCAAATCTCTGTGGAAACCTGAGGAGCAGTGCATCGACTGCAAGAAGATCCATGACGGCTGCAGGTGCTTCTGGTGGGTGGCTGGTGGCTACCGTAAGCACTGCACACCCTTGTAAACTCCGGACTCTGCAATGAAATCGACCTGATAGCCGGCGCATCTGCTAACAAAAGCGGCTGCTGCTGTCTCAAACCCCCCACATGACAGGCCGGCGCCTGATGCAGGTGGCAGAACGCCAGGAAGGCAAAGGCCTGCGTCTCAAGATTTCTGCGCATTCAGCCTCAAACAACTAAACAACCATGCATCAGCGAAGTTCTTGTGTGCTAGACTGCTAGACTGCTCGACCTGTTTGTCCAGCGATCTGTTTACATCTTTCTCGACCAAAGAGCCGGGGGAAATAGTGGCTACATCACAGTAACGCCGTCCTGCAATGTTTTGGCTGACCTGTCTCATGCAGTACTTGGAAGGTGGTCACGGTGATGCCTTATACATGGGCAGGATCGATATCAGCACCATGGTTCCTGTGTCTTGTTGCTATGGCTCTTGGTATTTCTGCAGCACTTGAGCCGTTGTTGAGACGGGCTGCATCGTTCCAAACCTCTAACTCACACCTCCGACCCCCTACGAGAACCTCATACTTGGGAGAACGTCGTCATTGCAAAATCACAGCCCCCCCCCCCCCCCGGTAATTTCAAAATCCGAGGCAAGCGGATGGCCGGGGACATGCGCCTAATTATGGAGAAGGGGGGCCTGCATCCTCCGGGGCAGAGGGCAGTCGGGGTTTCTAAGTATGAAGAGAAGGTTGCCTCTTCTGCAACGGCATGGCTTCACTTCTGATCTGACCGATGGGAGATCAGGCAAGCAAGCGCATCCAAATGCAGACCCATCCCTGCTATGAAGCCTCGGAGTAGAGAACGGTGTTCTCGGTGATGCTCAGGTCATATACCTGGAATTTATTATATTATATTATATTTACCCCTACTTCCAGGCAGAGCGCACAGCATCCAACAAATCAAAACCCCCTGTTCCAACGCTGATGTCGCCTTTCTCGCAGCTCATGGGCAACCTGTGCATTGCCAAGGTACCGCCCCGTCTGCTTAATCCATTCGTCGATGGAGCTTTGTCCATCGCCAGCTAGGTGGAACTCTTGTGGACCCACCGGGATCAGCTACCGCAGCTCGTAGAGCTTACAGCCCAAGGGCCTGCAATACTTTCTTCGCAGCGTGATGTCCGCTGAGCCAGGCTCCTTCAACGCGTCCGTTGTAGCACCAGTCCCCGGCCAAAGCCAGTCGCCTGTTCACATCCCATGCATGTCCCTCGACAAGCTTGTAGTCCATGTCACCATAGACCCAGGTCAAGGCCTCCCAACTGGAGGGTATTGGAGGGCACGAATGTGAATTTCTGTCGAACCGAGCTCAGGATCCGACCTTTTGCTGCTGCACTGCAGGTAGATCTTTCCCAAGGATTCGAGCAAATTCACGGAGCAGCACCGCACAAACCTCCAACGGCAAATGAACAAAAGTCCGAGCATCATGCTCAAGTGCCTTTCAAGAGGTAACCAGTGACGGCTGGGAGCGCGCCTCTTCTTCGGGCATCGCCTCCTTGATGTATTGGGCTGCCCACTCTGTCGTGGTCTGCACCACCCACACCTCGGCCTCGGTGAGGGAGTTAGATTCTGGGTCGGGTGGCACCTGCCGGGTTGGCTTGAACCTGGCCTTGTCACTGCCTTGTTGAAGCCGTGACGAGTCGTTGAGGATTAGCGAGATGGGTGAGTCCTGGACCTCATTGAAATTCGCGTGCAAAGACGCTTACGAAACTCGTTCGCATGTTCCTGCCACCATCATCACTGCACCGCTGCATCAATTCATGATCACACACCCGCCAATATCCACGCAGACCGAGGAACGAAAGCTATCCTGAACGGAAGTTCCAGTGGTGCTGCGAAGACCCAAGCCTCGGCAACGGGGGACCAACTTGTCACTGCTTTCCACCAGCACTTCCCTGATGTTTCGAGTATCGCTTGCAGTGTCACTGCCCAAGCGGAAATCCATCTGCAGCCCAGCATCGGCAGCGACTCGCGCCTACAGGTGTCAGCTAAAGTGTATATTCAGAAGCACTTAGTCCTCTCCCCCAGTCATGCAGCATGCGTGATGATTGCAGGTCCCATGACATTTGCTGGGCCGCTGGGCCTTTTCAAAATCCTTCTCCAGTAGGTCCGCCGGCAGCATCGCTTCGATCGTCCCCACCTGTGCCAAGAAGGCATCATGCAAGGGAGAAGTGAAATGGTTTCGCGTTCAGTCCCGCCGGTAGTAAGGATCGCAGCGGAGCCAAAGGCAGGGCCAGGATCAGCGCTGAAACGGAATCGCTTCCGTTCAGCAGCCACGTTTCCTTACAGAAATGTCTAACTGGAGCGCATGACCCACGCCGAAAGGGCCAGCCAAGTTCCCTCGCAGATCACCAATGTGCGCTGCACTGAATGCTCGTGCTGTCAGCCTCATTTCTTCCCTTCGCCTTGCAAGCCCAAGTGTGAACCGTTCGGGCCAAAGCTCGAGCTCCTCTTCCCAGCTGACGGAAGCTACTTCGCCACAGCGAGTGATGTGCTTCAGCTCCTCTGCCCGATGGTGAAGGTTGCGACTACTGTACGGGAGTGGCCAGCCTGGCTACACCTCTCAAGGGCCAATCTGCAGGGCTGCCATGTACCCCCTCACGAATCGCGTCGTCATGTCGGTTGGATCTGGAGACCTCTTAGCATCCTCCACGAAGTCACCCCGAAACTCAAACTCTGGGCTCCTAAGCCCCAGCGCCCTGTGAAGCCAGAGGATCCCAAGAAGACAATGTTGAGGCGTCCTCGGGAGAGAGCTCCACCAAGCTTTCCATGCTGGGCCGACCCACGTGCCAGCGGTCCGTAGGGGCTTTGAGCTCCGGCCTCTCGCTGAAGCCTCCTGGAGCTTCCTTGGCCGACAGACATGCCAGTAGATGCCAGGCTGTGCCCACGAGATCTTCTGGAGAAGAGTGCTTTCAAGCGACAATGAAGTGTGGCGTGCCTACCATCCACTCAGAAGCGAGACCCAGCTCTTCCCACTTCGCCATCTCTGCCTGGCACAGGGAGCTCCTAGAAATCGCCGACCTTGCAATCCTCCCTCAGTCAAAGCAATTTTTCCGGACTGCGGCCTTGAAGAGTGGGTCCTTCGCCTTGACGTAGGTCGCGCCGAGGCCAACCCAGTGCTCGCCCACACGCGCGGCACCCAGGCGCCCCCCCAAAGCAGACTCGCGCTCGTAGAGACGCACCGAGACTCCTCCAAGGGGCAGGCCGAGGCTCGAGGAGTCGAGAGGCGACGGGGATCTTAAGACGTGAGGCCCGTGAGGCTTCGTCCTGTACTGCTTAGGACCCGTGCAGCAGCGACTCCCGCCATGCCGCCGCCGACGATACCGACGACAGCAGCAGACTTCGACGCCATCGCGTAGCACCGCGGTCCACGAAAAGGATGACGGGTAACATGCAGAAGCTGTTGTGGTTGTCAACATCTGGGCCAAGTGTGAGATAAGTCTAGGTTGTCCTTCGCACCACTACGAGTGCTGAAAGATAAACGCACGTCTTCAAAGGGATGTCTTTCTTCACTTAGCATGTCCTGGACTCTCTGGACTCCAACACTTATGGATGAAGTAACGAAGGTGTGCGCGCACGCCACTGGCCAGGAACTTGTCCACGAAGTTCCTGCCAGGCCGTGAACCACTGCCACATGCAATTCCGTCACCTTGCTGCCTAGCCAGGTGACATCTGCATGGCGGCGGATCTCGAGCTCCAGAAGTTGTGCAACCCCTGGGCATCCCTCTCTGGAAATGGTAGGAACCTTGATTAAAGCAATGACAATCATCATGGTACTGTTGCTTCGTGCACGGGGTCCTGAACAGGAAGTCGTGATGCCTCACGTCGGTCAGGCACGCGAGCCGTAACTGCGCAAGGCTAAAGGCAGAGAGCGGCTGCACCCGGCCGGCTTTGATCAGCAAGCAAGGGCCCTTTGACTGCTGAGCTCAAAATCAAAGGCAGTAGCCAAAAATTCTGAAAAATCACTGCGTTCCAAATCGAAACTTCCACTAAGCAGCTCACGGCCGGAGGACTGCAGGACTAAAGGCGTCTTCCTGGGCGTCCAGGCTTCGCATGGGCAGAGCTCAAAGGAGCTCTGAAGCCTGGTTCATGTCTGCGAAGTCATTGTCGTGGGGCATGTTCACCCACCTCACAATCCGACCCTGCACAGTCTCCATGACACGATGGGCTCAGGCTGGAGCTTGAGATACATGAACCGCAACCTGCCATGCTTTGCAAAAGACGGATCTGAAGACAAACAGGACCATCCCTCGTTTACGTGCCATGCGAGGAGGACATGGAGGAAACCACCATCAGCCAGTGCTGCTGCCATTCGGCGGGTCTGGCACGAGCCGATGCCACTGGCATTGGCATGTAAGGAGAAGAAACCGAGTGCTGGGCTCTAGGGGAAATGCTGGAAGCCTGAACCACTGCAGCCAATTCGCCGGGCGTTGGCAGCTTGTTGCAGCAATCCTACTCTTCTGTGCCGAGGCGAAGGCTGGAGGTCACTGAGCTTGTGATGCATCATCTTGATGATCCTGTCTTTCGAGCTGCCGATCTTTCGGAAGACCTAGTACTCCCGTGCCCTGCCCTGTCAACCCAGGAGTCCCTTGAGGGCCAAGCTCCAGCACGGAGAAATGGCCATCGACCTCACATCCGAGAGGAAGGCGAAGGCTCTTTTTCGCACTTTTCGGGGCCTGCCTCGTCCACCGCAAGGAGCCCGTGCCCTAAAGCCGCCACCGAGCCCTCGGACGAACTGCACAAACCAGGATCTTTAAAGAATTGAAGCCAGCCAGGCGCTCCGGCCTCCGGGCAATCTGCCATACTCCCATCAAAGTCGCTTACCACCTCACACAGGAAGCACATGACTCACGATTGATTTCTCTTGGTTTTCTGCCACGAATGACTACTTTGACTGCATGTACTGCAGACCTCCACAAAAACACATGAGCTGAGCTGCAAAATGGTGAATCCTGTCGTCGGTCTACTTGCCAGATTCGCACGAGGCTTACAGCATCTCAGGCATCACGCAATGATCATCGCAGCACTTGCGCCACTTAGCATGAGCGATGATCTGTCGATTCAGAAACAAGTCTGGACTGCTCATTGCATGAGGGTTTGCTTGTGTCGACTCTTCTCCTTGTGCAGGAATACTGTAGTTCATGAGGAATGAGTTCGGGAGTTTCGGATTTGTCCTGTCGCCTACTCACCCCTACACACACACACACAGACACACACACGGACGGACACGGGTGTCAACCTCAACCACACACCGTTTTCCCCAAACCTTGAACCACTTTATTTATGAATCACTGGGTTGATTTTCATTAGAAAAGCAAAAAGTGAAACATATCTATATCTATATCTATATCTATATATATATATATCATATATTCATAAAAGTCGTGGTCGCCAGGTTCCTGCAGTCGAGGCCTCCATGGCCAGGGGTCGCCAGGCCTTGCTCCACTCGGACCAGGTGCCGGCACTGAACCTCAAAGCCCGACCAAAACGCGCCCCTGACAATGAAAATAAAAAAGCGTCAGAAAATGTCAGAAACGAGAGATAGATCGTAGATAGATGGATAGACAGCCAGACATATGGATAGAGAGACTTGGAAAGTCATGTGCTTGGTGTTGTCAGCACAGCTGGGATCTGGGCTGCAGCTGCTCCGCACTTCTCGACAGCGACAGCGCAGCCTGCAAGCCAGACTGCAAGCCTAGAAAGCCGGGATGCTCGAACCCCCCCAAAGCGCCCAAGGCCTGCCAGGTCTCTCCGGAGATCCGCGACGTCCCCGAGCAAGAGGCCAGGCCAAGAGCCGCCTGCGAGCGTCGAAATCGCCCGGGGACTTCGCAGCGATCGGATCTTCCAGGCCCAGGGCCTGGCCGAGGCTAAGAGCCTGACACGGGATGCAAGCACCAACGCCTTTTTAGGGGGAGTCGCTTCTGAGACCGGAGCTGCGTATCTCAGCGCCATGGGCATGGCCGTTGGCAGCAGAGATACACAGCTACAGCTGGTGGTGGCTGCGTACTTGTGATTCTTGCCTGTTTTTGGATCTCCCTTCTCGACCAGCAGCGCAGCTCATATTGACTACTTTGCTAATGGTAAATAGAGAGGTCTTGGAATGCTTGAAATCCGTCCATCCCGAGTACCCTTGCAGGCGTCGCTCGAAATGCAATTGCACCTACATGTGTGTGTACAGAGCAGATGCTCTGAACAACAGGCGCTCGATGTGTTTCCCTGCCTGTACGAGTGTTGGCACGACTTGCTGCAGCTGATTACACCTGTGGCACTGCTAACCAACCGTAATTGCCGTAAAACTCACCCGCTCGCTTGATACCAATTATGCAATTCATGGCAGGTGCAGTCATGTGCAGTCCCTTCGTCTGAAACTAACGTCTTCACCGAAGCTTCGAGGAACGAAGAATCAGCATTCAATGCAATTGGGGCAATTTGGGCCCATCGTCTTGCCGTCTTGTTGCCCTTTGGCTCAGTCAAGCATCAAGCCAAAATGCCACAGGAATCCGCATGACTTTCCTTTTAGCGAACAGATGCGTCGGCAAGCTTCGGCACGGCCGCACCGCAGCCGGCTTACAGCCGGCTTGGAAAAAGGTGCAAAGTGCGGCAGGTTCGCGTCGCACCAGCATGCCAATGCACTAGCCACAGCATTCAGGGAGAACGTGGCGCTCTCGTTCTTGCCACGCTTCCTGTCAGCTAGACTAGACCTACGATCACTGCCTTTCGCAGATGCGCACTTGCCTAGACACAAGGAAGCTACAAGTATGCAGAACAATGAAGCTCAGATGCATACGTCACCATTTGTGCCAGATGCATAAACGTTCAGTCGACGAGCTTTCTCGATGCCAAACAGATTTTGGCTTCCAGCTTCCGACATGTCCATGCGTCACAGCGCGGCTGGCTCAGCTGCGAATTCTCAGAAGCTGAAGGTAAAGATCCTGTTGCAGGCAAAGCGCCGGTGTCTCTTTAGTAGTGAACGTGCTTTGGAAAATGCTTCGACAACCATGGCGTGCGAACGGCATAAAGCTGCTATCTGAAAGAAGCGATGCTGTGTAGCCTGTTCGCTTCGTCACAGCTCCCGCAACTGCAGCCAGTGGATGATCAGCTGCCTGGCACAACTCAGCAAGAGCCTGCCGGCTACGAGGGCGACAACGACTACGACAGTCCGAATTTGCAGGACAAGACAATAACAACTAGTTTTACTTCCACCTTTCCCTGGTCACAGACTACTAAGCTACGCCTACTACCAATTTTAACAAAGGTATGCTGGCGACGACAGCGACCCGTTCATAGTGTTTATGGTTGTGTCTGCACAAATTAAAAAACACCTGTCAAATCGCATGGTGCAAAATGCAAGAAATCATGTATCAATTTTGTTGCAAATGCCGGGCATGTCGAAGGCATGTTCACGTGCAGAACTGACTACACGTTCTTGACCAGCTTATCGCGTTCCAGCCAGTCTTTGTGCGCATGATGGCCGCAAAATGACGATGAAACCTGTTCGAAGCTTTGCTCTGCAAAGCTATTTAAAGTTTCACGCATCCTCGCCTGATGCCTTTGCAAGGGCGATACTTCCTGGGACACCCACTCACCTGCCTTGGGCTCCTATGCCTCCTCTGCTGCTGATATTACCACAACCCCCTCCACACCCACTGCAGCAACCCAAACCATTGCGGCCACTGCTGGAGCAAGAGTGAAGTAGCTCGGACGGTTGGGAGTCTGGTCTAGAACAAGTACACCGCTGTGTGCTAGAGAGGGCCCATGAGAAGGCAAGCTTGCCACTCACAAACATCGAATAAAGATAGAGCTTGACAACAATACCCCCGCGCCTGTGCTTATCCTCAGCCTCCGCCGAAGGCCCTTCGCGGCGCAGGATCCTCACGTAGTAGGAGAAGCCATTACGTAGAGCAGCCCAGAGCAAGCTACGTATAAATGCACCAAAATCCATGCTGCGGACTTAAGACATGTGGTTTGCCTGATGAACGCGAAGGCCAGCAAGAACAAAGAACTCGCGGAAGATGTGATCATGTCATTTGACAGTTCTTGTGCCCCTGTGCTGTCGGAGGGTGTTCCGGCTTCTTGCGAGGTACTCGTAAGGTATGTATAGTAAGAATAGAAACAGAGGGCGGGAAAGCAGTTCTGAAGCTGCGGCCCTGCGTCTCTAGTCCCCTCCTTTGCTCTGTTGGGCCCTAGGCCTTAGTGACCTTAGGTGCGAGATACTTCATGAAGTCCTGCGGGCGCGCACTGGGCTGGAAATTGAAGCCGTTGGCTTGCGACGGCTGCGTGGTGGGAAGGATCTGACGGCCATTTGTGCTTGCACCCAAACTTGTGCTACGAACGTTGCGACTGAAAAGCATCCCTCATGCGGCTGTAAGAAAAGGTACCTCCCCACGGTCGAAGATGCAAAAGGGTGCCATTCCAGGACGGTGCCTACGTGAACTCCAATGAAGCGGTTTGGAGCATCTAACTTGAGCTGACTGAGGCACGGGCTTTTCGGTTGAGCCTATGTAGTTATGGACATAGCTCAAGCCTCAGCGACTCAGCCCTACAAGGATGCTCTGCAACTTGTCAATGCGCAGCAAGTACTCGAGGGTCCCCCACCATCGATCTCCTGAACCTGCTCCAGAACAGCGCTCAAAGGAGGTCAAACAAGCCCCGTGCGAGTACATACATGCATGTATACATACATAATTGACCATTCATATGTCCGTCCCTCCCTCCATCCATCCATCCAACAATCCATGCGCACACATACAGAACTAAATCATACCAATCAGAAATAAAGAATAAAGTACAGCACGACAGGCCAAGACACTACGCTTAGAGTATGCTGCTCTTCCTCCCCGGCCAAACAGCACAGCACAGGCCTGCGGGCCGGTGCAGGCACGGCCTGTCTGTAACTCACTCCGGAACTTGGGGCTGCAGGGAGCAGCTTCGGCTTGAAAGTGTTTAGTGTTTGAGTGAGATTGAGGGAGCAGTGGCACTGCAAAGTCGAGTCCTGGCGCTGAGGCTCAGGCCGTAGACGTGGACATCCGATCCGATCGTTCGAATCTTGCACCCACACGATGGACCCCCCGAAAGCTCACTTGGGAGTTTAATCAACGTCCCACCTGCTCGTCCAGTCCTTCACAGCCGATGTGGTCCCAAATCCCCGGAATTGTCCAATCCTGGCATGAGGGTCTGAAATCAGAGGCTCCCTTTCAGCCATCCGTGTTCAACCGCCATGACTGTCAAGGGAGCCCTCGTTGAAAAGAAACCCTTCGCGGTGCCCTTAGCTGTCTGCGATCCCCAGCTCCATGACTTCATGGGCTCCGGGCAAAAGACAGTTCTGGTCTCGTCAGGAAGTGCGTCCTAAGCTGGTGCATCTTTCTCCACCGGGTTGTGTGGTTTCTGCATGAAGCCCCAACGCAGCGGCAGGAATTAGGAGCCGGACATAGTCATCACCTGGGCCGGCTGGTCGCAGAATCCTGGAGGGGAAGCATTGGGAATAGCATCTCTGATTCAATGCCGACGTGAACATTGTCAGGGCGTCTTTCGGCCTTCTGTCAAAGCCTTGCCCGCTGTTCTGTGGGGAAATTCCGGCATTTCGCAAAGGAATATCCTTTCAAACCCAGTTCTCATCTTGAGGCAACTCGAACCACACCGGACTTCATATGGCTCTGTCACTCGGCTCAGTTGGGCGAATGCTCCGATCTGGGCCCTCGGCGCTCGAAGGCCGTCTTCGCCACAAGGGTGGCCCTGAGAGCCGCCTCGTTCATCCTCCAGTCGCTTGCCGCATCCCATACCGACACCACTCTCTTTCGTGCCACTCTCCTCATAAAGAACTTCCAGGCGTCATCAGAGCCACAAGGAAAAGGCCATTGGATCCACTGATCGATGGTCACCTGCGCCGGCCAATCACGCGCTTGTCTGTGCGCGACACAGATCCGGCAAATCTGAGCCTTGGCATCCGCGTCCGTCGCTGATGCATGCTGCTGGCGCAATGCTTTGGAGATGAAATCTCTGGAGTACCTTGAACGGCAACAAATGACGAATGATGTCGAACGACTCCCGTTTGTTGCATCATATGTAACTCACCATCAGAAGCCGTGAGGCACAGTCGTAGATTCGTAGATGTTCAGCTCTGAACACGTGCTCCCGTCTTCTAGCAACACAACAGCAGGCTTGCCAGAGGCTTGTAATAGTACAGTGCTGACGCCATGAACATGCCACTGACTGCCCTTCTCCTCTGTAGTATAGCTGCCCGCTACCTTGACTTGTAGCCTCCACCTGGTAGGCAGTCTTCCAGGGCCTCTGGAGCTTGCAGCACGTGCAGTTCGACTGCTAGTTGCTGCAGCCGCCCCTGTTCACACCTGTAAAGTGCAACGTGTTCACGTATCTGTTAGCAGCGGGGCACCAGGACTGCATCGGTACGATGAACATGCCTGCGGCAACCTGACAGCATAGTAAAAGCAGATTGATGCAGACAGATGGCGATGGCACTCATTCTTGCCTCGGCGGGTGCTGTCTCGATGCCAAGCTCATCACAAACCTGCAGCACCTGCCCACTTCCGAGAACTGCCTCATTCTCTGACGAAGCGCACGCCTCCTTGGACAAACTTCCCTGCCCCATGCTGGCACTGCAGGCATCATGTTGTCCCCAAACCACTAGCGAAACAGTGTGTTCGACTGGAACATGGCAAGACCGAAGGAATTGCAGAATTTGCAATTCGGATAGTGAATTCAGGCACGGCTGTAGTTTCTAAAGCAGCGCCCTTAAAGCAGAATTAGCAGATTATGCTCCGCACTGTGCTGTTGCAGCGTGCAGTGGGTGGAGCCGCGAGGGCTGCTCAAAATAAGAGGCTGTGGCATGCCGGCACTCGTAGCCCGCACTTACAACCACCTCCTATACAGACTGTCTGGCCCATTGAGCTAAGCCACTGTCAGTGGCCACTGGGAACCAGAGAGTCCACAAAACCAAATCATTGACAAAATCGTCAGAGTTCTAGGCATCTGCCTAGCGAATGAATTAATAGCAGGGTCTCCAAATTGCAGGTCCGGTCGGCTAATCATGCTTGCTAAGCTGAGCGTTGAGAGACCCAGAGCGGAGGAAAGCCTCACTTCATCTTTGACCTCAAAGTCCTCAGATGCGTGGGGCTGCCCACCTGCGGCAGCTAGCAGTGCGAATCTCAGGCGGGAGGTGTTCTTTTCCCCCCGTTCAATGGAGTCAAGGGTTCCATTCAGGCCCTCTGCGAGGCCTTATGGTATGTTGGATGAGAGCCGAACAGGGAACGGTACCATGGGAGCACTCTGCAGGAGCAGTTCCCCCACAGCCTCAAGGATTCTTCGGCTGCAGGAAACCTGGCACTGGAGGGTTTAGGAGACCATAGGCTGGCTCTTCTAAAGTAGGAGCCCTAACGGGGAGTATGGGGCGTTTTAGAAAGCTCCAGATCTGAAATTAGGATCCTGGCTTTGAGCACCCCTCAGGGGGACTCCTAAGTGTTCAGAGATGTGGTCTCTACAACAACTCACGTCGCTCCTAGCCGGAAATGACCACAAGCTGAAGGTCGGGAGTCTTACTATCATTGTTGCTAGTACAGCGATTATCACTTGCCTTATGCTTATTCTGATTGTGGTGCTTTGTTCTCGTGTCTCGTTCTTGTTCTTATTCATAATCGTAGTGAGCATCATAGTCTTAGTCTTAGTCTTCTGCGCAGTTTCGGATTCAGGGCTTCATGCAAGAGCAAGGTGTCGACCTTCGTTTCGCATTTGCCTCTCGGCAACCCGCGCTGTGAACCCTGCCTGGAGTCTGCTTGTCCTCGAGGCCTTAGCAGCCATCGACACACGATCTAATATCCTGTGAGTGTTGGTGTTCTCATGTTCCTATCGAAATATTCTAGTCAAAGGTCTGATTCGCATAATGTCCTCCTCCTCCTCCTGCTGCTCCTGCTCCTTCATGCTGCTGCTCCTGCTCCTGACACAGCAATGTTGCCCGGCCCGCCAACCCTCTGCATCGAGGTGAAAGGCAGCGTTGCATCGCCGTCTTGTCATTGGTTCTCGGTGTAGATACTTGAGCCCATCATCCGAGCGGCAACGGCAGCTCGGAAAGTCGGCCGGCAGAGCATCCTGGCTTCATCCACAATGGATCGAGTTTTTGCGATATTTTGCGTATACACGTTCACGCACCCACCTCGAGGACAGGCATGTTGAGCTAAACACCACTTCTTCGCTCACACTAGGCACTGGTCTTGACTAGAAACCTGTCTCCGACGCTTACAAGACGAAGAGCAACTCTCTCATGACAGGACCGAGCTCCCCTTCGAGACTCAAATGCTCTTCAGGCTTCGATCATATCCCTCTGAATGGCCTTGCGTCGAGCAGGATGGGGTGCCGGCAGCGGCAGCTTTGGGAGCTGCGCGATTTGCGCATCTGGCAGCGGCCACGGCTCACGACGATGTAGAACTAGTGTTTAATTCCGGGATGCTAGCGGCAGGTACTGCTCACCGCGACTAACCAAGAGTGTCTGTGGACTGAGGTGCACACCGACTGAAGCCTTACTCGGCATCACGGAGGCAATTACCGGCTCGAAGATCGGCCCCTCAAAAAAAGCAAAAGAAACTTCCTGTGATCGGATGAAACTCCCCAGACTCTTGGAGCGAGGCATACATGGACTTGACACGATCTTCAAAGACGCCATAGACTCCATGCTCTTGCATGTAGGTGCCTGGGCGGTGCGGTTCTTGGGGATAAAAAGGCTGAGAAAAACAAGGTGCAAAGAAGATGCGCAGGAGAGGTCCGGTTCCGCCAAGCATGGCTACGACCTCGCAGGAACTCACAGGAAGGGAGCTTCTTCTCATCGGGGATACAACGTTGCAACAAGCAACAAAAGCACAGTACTTGTGCAGCATGCCCCTCTACAATCCGCTACACTGATGAATCCGCCATGGCGTTGAACAAAACAACTTCCGAGCCGGCCGCGGTGGTAGCTTTGGCATCCCAGGTCGCCATGGGTGCGACCTTGGCTGCTGCTTATCACCGGGTCCTGAGATCTTCTACTGTTTGCATATCACCTTGCTGTCATTAATACGATTGCACACCTAAGGAGCCTTTACAGCTTGCAAACTTGCAGACTACGCCGGAAAAATACTGCCGACGAGCTGAGGATGATGTGCTCCAGATTGCAGATGATGAGTTATACGGTGCATACTATTCATGTGTGGGACTGGGCATCACGTGTGCGTATGACCTATCGTTTACCGAGTATGTGTGTGATGTACTGTACATAGCCACATAGCCTTGCATTTAGATTAAGATGTGTTGAGCATGAACTTTGAGTGGCCAGCCAGCACGTACTGTACGTACATCCATACCTTCCTACAGAGGCGAACACGAGTCGGTATGCAGATTGCTGAACGCAGCTGTCTACGCGCATGGGCTGGGTGGGGTTTCGGGGAACCGAGGCCCCCTGCTGCCTTGCCAGTGTTGGTGAAGGACTCAATGCTGCCAACAGGTGTTTGCACCCGCGGCATGGCCAGCATGTGGTTATACCTCCCGCTGTTGGGGTCTCTGGGCATGTCCTTGTGATGTCATCTCCGGATGTGTCTTTTCGGCACTGCTGCTGGCTCGCGCAGCTGTTGCTGTGGTGACCATGTGTGCTAGAAGTGTCGTGAGAGCAGCTACTGGTGTTACTTATCGCTGTATACCATTGTTAAGTTGTTGCGTTCGGTCAATGTATCGGGGGTGGGGCCGAAGTGCCCAGCATTCCAGGAGGCGATAATGCTTGAAGCTGGCGCACCACGCAAGTCCAGCGGCTGAATCCTCGGCTGGATGTGACTGAAAAGGCGAACGTCCTTGTTGGGGCACATCATATATATATATATATATACACATCAAGAGTACCTGCATCGCTGCGAGAACAGCTGACCATGTCAGCAAACTATTTTGGGCAAGAGCATCCTTCAACTTCTTGGGCTGGCACCACCAAGATCGAAGGGAAAGAAGCATAGGGGGTAAGGACTGTCTCCTCGCATCAAGGGCTCCAAGGCGGAAGAGCTTTCCAGGAGCGATTCCAGGCGCCGGGCTGTAAAAATTGGCTGCTCCGCTAGCGCCTGCGAATTGCAGACTGAAAGCTATCATATCCTGTGCATTTCATCATGGTCTACTCTCTTGCCTATTCTAGTCTAAATCGAAGGCTGGCCTGGCCTGTATGCCCACGGCACTGCAGTACGGATGGGCGTCGCACTGCACACCTCCGACATGCAACTTTTGGGGCCGCAGTTTAGGATTTAAGGCTTAGGGCTTTAAGGGGGGCTTCCTTGACCCTTAGATTCGTTGGCCCTTGCTGCATCTTGCTGCCCAAAGGCCATGGGGCGCGTTCACCGAAGCCATTAAGCCAGGCCTCGGCAGACTGGCTTTTGAGTCCACAAACGACACAACCCTTACAAGGGAGTGGAGACAGAGAGGAGGAGAAAAGGGCAGGACCCGTGAGCTGGAAGCTTCTGCTTCTTCCTTTTTAAGAGACTCAAGACATTGTCTTGTCGGATGTCACTTTAAGGTGACGGCAGCTGCTGTTGCAATGAATTCTCCAAGCGTGCGAACTCGCCGTTCGTGAAAAGGTGCCTGACCTCAGTGTCCAGAGTTTCATCTCAAAGGACCTCAAAGCGTCTCTCGGCGGAGCCGGGCGGCGGACCAGCGGGATGTCCATGTAAGGAAGCTGTAAGGTCTTCCACTGTTCATGCGCTGAGAACCTGTCCGCTCCAAGAGTCGATCGCTTGGGAGAGCCAAAGCCACGCACGGCTCGGGAGCAGGCCAAAATCCTTTCTGCAGAACCATCTTCGAATTGTCGGCGGCTGTGTAAACAACAGGCTCCACCTCAGCTCAGCTCCTTCTGGATGACATCCCCGGGCATACGCACTGCCGTGCTAAGCAAGTGGCATGTTCTGCCTTGATCTTCCACATCAGCTTCTTCTCCTCCTGCACATTGCTGAGAAGAACAGCAACACCAACGCCACGGCCAGGCAACAACGGCAACAACGGCCGGCAACAGCACAAGCGGAAGCACAAGCAACAACAGCCAGCAGCAACACCAGCAACGGCCCGCAGCTCCTCACCGTTGTTTGGGTACTTGCTCCAATTGCCGAAGATGTCCATGAAGATCACAACCCTGACATGCAGCTTGCTTTCACTGCAAGAGCTGGCTCGGACAAGCTCAGATCCTCAATCTTGAACGACTGAGGGAGCCACATCTCCCCTTCGAAAGCATCCCAAAGAACCTGAGCGCTTGTGCCAAGACTTCGCCAGCAAATCGCGATGCCGGTAAATGCACAAGTTACCAACACAGGCAACACCAAACAGAACTAAATGTGATTATATGAATTATATGAAATTATGTGTCTGCAAAGGCTCTCGTATTCTGAAATTCTTGCTGCTCCGCTCATTCGTTGCCCCATTCCGAACGAGTCAGCAGCGGTTTACCTCACTCTGACCCACACTGGTACTTCCCGAGTCTGTGCGAGTCATTGTCCACTGCTGTACTGGCTGCACTGTTGGTGCACAGCTCGGGCAGCGACCATTTGGTTCTGGTTGTGAGCATTGGAGGCATTCCTTGCAACCTGAGAAAGGCAGAATCGGATTGAGGAGGGGCATGAAAGGACTGCATGAGACACAACATCACCAAGCAGCTCGCCGAAAAAACACCGGAGTGCTTCAAAGTGTTGCACTAAGCCGCGTGCGTCAACGGTGATGTTGTCAAGCTGAGAAATCATGCGCACCTGTCCAGTAGCATCATCCAATCTCACACACTCGCACGGAGGAAAGAAGACCTACCCTAAAGCAAAACAAGCGCAAGCTGTGCATGATGACAACTATGGGTGCGAGCACTAGTCAGTGCGTCAATGTGTGTGTCATACCAATGACAACACTCTGCAAGGATGCGATTCGCAGAGGAATGCTCTATCACCTTGACTTGAGGCCCTGACCAGACCGGCTCCATCGTAGAAAAGGTTCACAACCGATGCCTGGCAATTTGTTGGGCACTCGGACCCAAATCCACCCAAATTCATAGTTTACCCACGAACCTGACATCACTCTAAACTCTAAACTGCTGAAGCTCGACGCCTGTTCCGACCTTTATACGCCCGTCCCTCTCCACCTTCATCCGCTCCAGGCGGCCGTTCCAGCGCCGGGCCATCTGGGCAAACCGACCTCAAAGATCTGCGTGTCGGGAGCTTCGAGTCGGGAGCTGCACTTGAACGCCCAACGACGCAGTTGTCATGCCCTAGACTTTGCCTGACTCTGCTCAAAGAACGCTTCATCGGCTGGTGAGTGGTGGTTCTATTTCTGCAAACTGCTCTCGGTGCACTGCCAGAGCCGCCTTCCTGTGCAGCTCGGCGTTCCAAGACATGCACCTTGCACCAAATACCGAAAGCGCTGACGTTTCGATTCCGAAACCCCAGCTGCTGCCATGAGCAGTAAAAGGGGCAGGTGGCAGTAATGTCATTCAACTAGCAGACGTCAGTGCAGCTACACTGCAGCCCCTACAAGACCCTCCTACCTTCTACAATGGTATTCCCATGAGCATCAGACCACTGCGGCGGTGCCAAAGGCAAGCTGGCCGTTGTCCAGGCCTGGCAGGCCTCAATGCCAGGGGCCCAGGGCCATGTCCCAGTAAGGAACCCTTAAAGAAACCCTTAAAGAGGATCCCTTAGAGGACCCCTTAAGGGAGCCTACAGGGCCTTCAGCATTTGAGAAACCTTGGCTTCGGGCTCCTCTCCCAGCCAGGCAAGGGCATCATCCTGCTGGTTCCAGGGTCCGTGGTGCCTCATCCGGGCAAGCAGAGGGCAGAGGGAGAAGAAAACGAGAGCAGAAGCAAGCTCAGACAATCCCAGACCCGTCACTTACTGTAGTCTCTAGTTGTGGTTGTAGTGGTAGTGGTTACTGTTTTCTGGCACTGGTGTCTTGAGTTTGCCCATCAGCTGGCCAACCAACCTAAAGGCTAAAACAATGTCAACCATGTACAAGCACAATAATACGAAGAACAACAATGTAGGAAAAGGCGAATAATCGCAATCACTGCATCTGGATCCTCAGCCCATGGCTCTTGCAGACCCCCGCATCATTGATGCCACGAGAGCAGAACCTGCAGGGCTCGAAGGTAAGCCTAAGCCCCGCTACGATGCTGCATGCAAACCTCTGAGATCCTCTGAGCACTGGGCCAGGGCATGTAGCCCCCGAAACCCGGGAAGCGCGCATCAAAGTCCTCCATGCTGCTGACCTGAAAGACTGAGGACTTCGCAGATCCCCCTTTTCTGGCAGAGCATGGAGCCTTCTTCTCCAGGATGTCGAGCGCCTGAGCTGGGCCCCGTGGACTCTCTCCCTTCGTTTGTTGCGAGGAGAGTCCAGGGCCTGGCCTCGTCAGTGCTGTAGAGCAGCGGAAGTGCCGCGGCTTGCCTTGGCGAGTGCTTAAGAGACTGTTGGCCAGTGCTCTCCTTTCCCAAGCCATCGGAACCCTAAGGAAGTGAGCTGGCGGGATGACAGATCTGTCAGTCCAGAGGACGAAAGCAGCCGCTTTTCATGGGTCTCGAGTGGAAAATCGGATATGGGGCGCAGCCCGGGGTGAGCCAGTGCGCGAAACGCCTGTTGCACACGCAGCATCATCGTCCTAACTAAGAGTAAGACTGCTCATCGCATCTTGACACCTTGCTTCTGGAAGAGCGCCTGCCCTCCGAAAGAGGAGAAGCCCATCTCCATGGCATTCCATTCGGTGGACTTCTTCACAAACATCCTCAATAAAGTAGTCTTCCGCTTCATCTCCTCTGGCGTGTAGGCCAGATCAGGCACCCAGCAGGCTTTGAGCCCATAAGGTACAGCTGTCTGCAGCGGGAACTGACACACCGGCCCTTGAGAGATGGACTTTGCATCGAAAATGAGTACCGAGCTCTTGTCCTCCTGGCCATCGAAGCTCACAGAAATCAGGTAACCATCCTCCTCCCCATCGAGTCCTTCCTTTGGAACAAACAGGGGCTCTCCAAAGAACTCAGAAGCTCCTCCTAGCCACTCATCTATCTCGCCGCTCTCCACGTCGATCTTGGCAACCCCACCATATGGACCCACATCGCTGTGAGCCACGGCGGCGAAGACAAACCTGTGCTTCTTGCCGTTGTAGGCCGGGTTGACGCTGGTGAAGCCCAGATGTCGATCGCAAAGACTCCGCTTCGTGAAGGTCTTGGTGCTCAAATCCACCTTGGGGCCGTAGCAGCAGCAGCAGTAGCAGTAACAGTAGCAGGTACTAGTAGCAGGTGAAGGCACGAGAAATCTTCACACACATGTCAGGTGGTTTTCTTATGGATCCTCCGCCTCATAGCGCACGAGGGAGCGTTTGGGAACCTGGGTTGGATCCTGGACCTCCCAGCGTGGGCCAGCATCGACTTTGCCCAGGTCCCATCGCTCGGCTGCCACCAGGTCGACGACGACGCGCCCGCCGTCCTGCTTCACAGCGTGACGGGTAGTGCAAGCTTTACTGCAGCCACTGACATGACCTAGGCGGTTCGGTCGAGTTCACTGGCCATGCATCCACTAACGGTAACGCAGCACAACTTGTTCAACGGACACCAGGCAGCACTTGCTTCGAATAGCTTTTGCGTGCTGACTTTGATCCTTCCCCCGGGATGATGATGGGACAGCAACAGCAACTTGATCGGCTTGTTTGGAACTTACTGGCTTTCAGCATCCCGCGGCCGAGGGAACGCAAGATGGCATGGGTCGTTGGAGAGATCGAGCCTTACTGTATTTTGCCGTACTTCATGACATGCGCCTCTAGACGGCAGACATCAGAGAAACCCCGCATCTAAGACCCTGCTAACGAGTTCGTGGCCAAGAGCCATGGCCACCCCAGTAAGGCACCGGTCGAAGTAAGCAAAGGTAACAAGTAGTTACATGCAACTGCAACAACATGCCGTTTGGAGAAGGAGAAGCGGAAGGGACGACGACCACGACGACCACAACAACAACACCACCACCACCACCAGCACCAGCAGCAGCAGCCACAGTGACAGCCACAGCCACGGTTACGGTCACAGCCACAGCCGCCTCCACAGGAACAACAGCAGCAGCAGCAGCAACGGCAACAGCAAAGTCAATATGACGTTAGCATTCAACACGTGTCCACCTAGACAGATAGATGTTGTTCAAAACTTATCGCGATAAGTACACATCATGGGGCAACCGAATCCGACCAAGGACGCTCCAACCGATCATTGTCATCTGCTTCTGTTACGCTGAGGAAGGCAGCAAACGCTTGGGAACACCGCCATCATGCTTCATGGCAAAAGCATAGCATCCTCGAAGGCATTTGCGAACTCCTCGCAAACGAGCGCATCCACGGGCACCGTGACCTCTTGCTCATCGCGGCGAAGTCGAGTGGCGAAGATGAGCTCCGCAGTACCCGAGGGATCAAACTCAAGGACCTCTGCGAAGGTCTTACCGAAGGCCGCCCCAAGGCCATCCGCCTTCAGCGGGGGCTTGGCCAGAACAAGCCACTTGGGCGTAATCGCAAAGTCGGCAAAGCGCGTGAAGCCGCCGACGGAGAACTCTCGGGGCTTGGGATACCGGGGTCTCCAGGCGCCAGGGGCGAACTCCAGGTATTTCACCGTCGTCGAACCCAGCGAAGGGATCTGGTCGATAAAGCTAAGACAGCCCTCCGTACCACAAACTTTCGGGCACGAGCCAAAGCCCGTCTCGCTGTCCAAGGCCCCATCCAGATTCCAGGAGCCCTCGTCCTCGTTGCCGAGCACTGTGCCCAAACAGGCCGGGTCGATCTGGAAGGGCTTCTTGCTCCCCGCCGTCCCGACGGCAAGGAGCTGATCCTCCCAGAAAGTCATGCCCGCGTTTGCCGTGTGCTTGGGAAAGCCCTTGCGGGCATCCAAGGCACTCCCGCCTTCGCCTGGGGGAGTTCCGTAGAAGCCCTTGGCAAAGATGCGCTTGGCGAACTTGTCTCTGAGAAGTCCCTGGGTCTGAACCAGACGATGTCGGACGCACACCTGACCATCTTTGAAGCTTATGGCCAAAATGAACCCATCACCATCCAGCTCGTGTGCCACCTGGCTGTCTCCTTCCTTGAACTTGCCAGGCCCGTTCCGGAAGTAGGTGCCGGAAAGATCTGCGGGAATGCCCTCAACGTCCATAAAGTAGTATCCATCCTCCAGCTCGTCGGCTTCTCGAAACCCTCGCCTCCATGCATCAGCGTCTGCCGCCCGCACTGCGACGGCGCTGCCCCTGGAAGCGCGAACGACGCCTTGAAGTCAGGACAAGACGAAAAAACGAAGGGATGGGGGCTCCCAAGCCGACACAAGCCGTGCTCTACAGCTGAGGGCCTGGCCAGCTTTCCTGCGGTGGAGGGCTGCTAGAGCCAGAAGAGCGGAGGCTCCGAAGGACGGAGCTTCCCAGCGACTCCGACCGTCCCGAAGACTTGATGGGGCAGCGGCAGCTTGCTGAGCTTCCCTCGGCGGCTTGGGAAGCACCGGCTGGAGGAAGCACGGCGAGCCCAGCTCCATGACCACAAGTTGGCGGGGGCCCTCCGCCCCCCTCGTTGTGCCCAATGCTGTGGCAGCGTTTTAAATGTGCAGATGCGTGCAACATGCCTGGCCCTCTGATCTCCACCGCCGACCGCCATTCAATGAGGTTTAGCAGCATGAAGCTGAGAGCGAGACTCGGCGGGCACATCCTGGCATCGAATGCCAGGTTAGCATGAAGCTGCCGTCAATCTAACAGATCCTGAACTCGCTTGCGGTAAATTTGTGGTGCACAGTCGCACAATGTCGCACATACTGCAGTACAGGGCAGCATCATACCACCTTCATTCGGCGCTTGACTTCACTTCACTCTGGGCTTCAGGGAGCTGGCACGCTGTTGCAGGGCTATGAGGCGAGTGAAAGCAGTAAGACCAACATCAAGCCGTGTTTAAAGATAAGCCTCAAGCTCTCCGGGTCTCTCCTTGTCTTTCTGCAGTTCGCTCCCTTTCTCTCGCTCTCTCTTTCTTTCTTTCGGCAGGGTTATGGGCGAGGGGGTCTCTCTCTCTCTCTCTCTCTCTCTCTCTACCAGGCAAGAGCGAGCAAGCGGACGCTCACCCCCACGCGCGCGCGGGCGCGCACCTGCAGTCCACAGCAGGGTTTTGAACTTCCGCAGAAGGGGATCCCCCCTTTGCGGCTCGGCTATACAAAAGACTCTCTCTCCGTCTCTGTCTCGCCTCCAATTCCCGCCTCGATGGGCTGGAGTGCCAAGGCGAGGAGGCTAAGGTGCAGAGCCCTGGACGTGCTCAAGAGTTTGCAGACGTTTCAAATCTGATCCAAGGTGTTCGAGGCGCTTGGGGCTTCTGGTGGAGTTTAGGGTCATCGGGACAGCGGCACAACGAGCTCGGAGGTGGGCTTCTGCAACGGTCGCATCAATCAAGGCTGGGGACAGGACTCTTTGGATGGTGCCGAGAATGTTCGAAGAGTTTCATGCCTCACTGGGGAAAAAATCGCACAGCCTTCAACAAATTGTTAGTGATGCAAGCGCCCAGCGGAGTGCAACAACGATTTTTTTCTGTCATCCGTTGCCGTGTGGTCCACTCGAACAAAGGCACAAAGGCATCCAGCCGCATCTCATTTGCTTCGCTCTCCCATGCTTTGACCTGGTCGAAGACGCGTCGCAAACACAAGGTTGAAGGGGAGACAGCTGCCACGACTTCTACAGATCTTGCTGCGGCCAAGATACCTTCGGAGGTTCCTGCCTTTGAGCATCCTACGCTTGGTGATTCCATTCGCCAGGCCCTCCTGTTGAAGCTGCTCAAAGTGGAAACACGGGGTGATCAATCGAAAAGTCAACATGCTCACAAGGAATTACTTGAACGGCCCTGCTACATCCCTGCTACATCTTCCATGTATCGTACAACTCATATACGCATTGTGCAAGGCTTACGATGTAAAGAGTAATGAGGTGGGATGGCGCATGGCTGGACTCAGCCGTAGGCAAGGCAAGCAAGCATGGTTTCGTTGCTGCTCGGAAATTCTCTTGATCCGACAAGAATGGGCTGGAATGAACGAACTACAAAGCTACCGCGAGCCCGGCGAACTTCACACTCGCCAACAGCTGCAAGGAAAATGGGCCAATCAAAATCGACAGGAGAAGATTACAGAAACATGATCAATGTCTCAGACTTCCCAGCTAACTAAAGACAAGCCTAAGAGGCTTAAATCTGCACTCAGTGGCTCTCGCCATCGAAGTGGTAAGTACGGAGCAGCATGTCCGTGCAGTAGCAAAAGCCGTAGCGACCCTTGGGGCACCGGTGGTGGTCGTCATGGATGCTGGTCATACCACCGTGGCCGTAGTTGCCTGCTACCATGATTAAAACTCCCTGCCAGGCGATGGTTGCTGCGTGGGAAGGGATAACAAATGCACCCACCCAGATTGTGCCCATAGTGATGAGGAACATCTCGAGCGGGTGTTGGTATGATGCGTTCAAAACGTGTGGATCGTTGATCCGGTGGTGGTGTGAGTGCACGTGCTTGTAGACGAAGCGAGAGTGGTGGCAGCAGAATGGATCGCGTAGAACCACATCTCACTCAGAATCAAGTGCAACACCGCATTGAAGACCTCGCGGGTCCAGTGCGTTGACGCCTGCTGACGTGGCAGACATGGTGCCACTAGCCAGGAGGCTATAGGAATCATTACGAGCCAGTTGAAGTTACCGACAATAAGGCTGGCCCGATAAAGCTGCACCGGCTTCTTCCGGGCTGCAGCTTTTCTGATAGTTTGGCGATGACCGGTAGGGAGACATAATTGCCAACCAAGCCCGGCACCCAAAGGAGGAGGAAGTTTTCCCAACGCTGAGGACTCGCAGGCCAAACCAATCCCTGAAGATCCAATAGCTGCGTGAGAAGAAGTGTGGACATGAAGATCACGAAGGCCTTGTCGGCGAGCACGTCCAAATGCTCGACCTTCGTGGTTTTGCCCTTAGGCCCCGCATCCACATCAATTGCTTCTTCGCGCTCGTTCGCATTGTGCACTGTATCTGTGCAGTTTTGGATCGACTGAGCTGAAGCCATGGTAGTGCAAGGCAAGGACGGTACTCAGGATACTTCAGGCGTTGGCAACTGAGCCAAAAAACACACAAGGCAAACTCAGCTCGTCTCAGCGAATGCCGGCAAGGCCCTACAGCGAAGTTAGCTACTCAAGTCACGAGCTCCTCTAGTCGTCATCAGCAGCAGCTGTAACATCAGCTGTCCTTGGGTGTCAGGGTCGAGGGTTTAGAGTTGAGGGGTGGCATCGGACAAAGGGGCAGGGATTCAGGGTGAAAGAGATTAAACCTAATGGCCGGAAGAAATACCCAGAGCCGAACTCCCCACCTCAACATACACCGGATTACTTCCCCGAAGAGCTTGAACCGATTCCTTAGCGCCTTAACCCGATGAATCTGCATACCCGGATTGGTCTTCCCGTCCAGAAGATCTTGAGCCCTATTCTGGACCAAATGAGTTCAAGGTTTGCCTCTGATCCCGACGTAAACTTAGCTGGCTGAGCACACTCGCTCTGGCAACCCTGTGCCAGCCGGAGGGCAAGGTGTTCACGGCATCCTCCGCTTCCGGGCGGACCATCTCCACACCCATGTCGTCGCCTCACTTACTTCTCTCTCCCCGTCCTCGTCGCTCCACTCCCTGGCTCTCTTTGTTTTCAGGAAAGTGCGTCTCGGGTTTTCCCCCATCCACCTGTGCTTATTATTCCCTCTTTCTCCTGAAACATCCGGGTGGCCGCCATCCCCGTGCAGCTCCATCCTGAGGGTTGCTTCCGCGAGCGTCTGCGGATCAAGGCTGGTACAAGGGCTAAGTACACGAGCTGGCGAGCGGCAGCTTGGTGATGTCGAACTTTGGCTTCTTCAGAATCTTCACCTTTCCATGGGCCCGGCTCGACAAAACCCATGTACCCCTGCGCAAGACGACTCATCCTGGCTTTCGGATGGCATCGCTGACTCCAGCTCGCTTGCAGATGCGCTCCAAAACAAGCTGCATGAACGAGAAGCCGGGGCCCAGGCCTTGCGGATGAGGCAGTCCTGGACAAAGCGAAAGACACGACCCCGGGCTGAGGCCTGAAAGGGACCCCAATCTACCACCACGAACCCACTCAAGACCACATGCAAACCCGCGTGGCGGCAATCGAGGGCGACGGGAGGGAAATGAACCCCTCAGTCACGCTGAGTCATCGGAAACCCTGGCTCCTTCAGGGGGAAGATCCCCTGGGCCTGCTTTTCGATCTCCTGGAGTTTCCCGACATGGCAATCTGCCATACCAACAAAGAGACACACAGCCGCGAAAAGTCACAACACCACAACAGCAACATACATACAAGAGGAAGAAGATGTTGCTAGAGTGCTTAGTACAAAGGGCGTCTAATGCTGAAGGTAGCCATCGGAGCAACAAACTCAAGAATGACTTTGCTGAAGGCTTTGCTCCTTGCCGATGGACTCTGGAATCAGCTTCTTGACCAACTCACGCAGCTGCACCTGGAGCGTTCTTTCGGCTTCTGGCGCTTTCGGATCGGTGCTCGGGGCTCCCAAAGAGCCCGGATGCCGGACGGGAGCAGATCAGAGGCCCCCGCCTTGCTGGCCTCCTGCATCAAAGGGCGTATGGGGTCCAAGAACTCTTTCCTATTCAAGGTTTTTTCTACCGGCTTGGTTCGGTTGCTTCGGCAGCTTCTTCGAGGATTTCCAGGTCACCTGCTGCGCAGCAACGCCAGCTCGGAGCGGGACAGAAGGTGGTCTTACTCGCGAAATTGTCGACAGGCACCAAGAGCGAGGATCCAGGAAAAGCCAGGACACCAAGGAGCCCGATTTATTGAAGGAGCCCCTGTTAAAGACTGGGAAGTGGTATTCAGAATCTTCATTCCTTGCTACGATACACACCACAGTGTAGACTCATAGACGCTGGCTGCGCATTCCTGCGTCATGATCTCGGTCATCTTCTTGCGGATCTTGCGGATCTGCGCAGACCTCGCGGTGAGATTCCATGGCCCTGCCCTAACTGGACCTAAAAAGCCACAGTTCCCACACTGTGTACACCTTGCAGCTGAGCCACTGGGCATAGCAGTTGGCCTTCACCTGATCCTGACGGCGCTTCGTGAAGGCAATGCAGAACATGCGAACCACGTAGTTGTCCGTGGTCTTCACATCCACATGTGCTTCGATGAGCGTCTGCCACCTCTCAAAGCAGGCTGCACAGAGAAGCACGGCCATGTTGTATTGTATTCTATTCTACTAGCAAAAGGGCACAGCCAGGTCGCTTCTTGATCAGAGAGCAAATCTTGTCCCTGGTCAAGGTCATTCCATGGAAGTCGGTAAGGCAGCTACGTCCCTGCACCTGCCAGGCTCAGCTTTGGATTCAATCAAACCGTTCCAACTCTTTATCAAAGAGGTGATACCTAGAGCTGATGGAGTATCTCAAATGAGGACTTGGCTTGTCGTGTGCCCATGCCGCCTCCTCAATGCAGAGGCGGATCTTCTTGGAAGCCTGATCCTCGTCGTTGTTCAGGTCTGCAAGGTTCACCTGCCGCGGAGCAGGTTGGACCATCACTGTAAGGAATTCTCAGCTCGAACTCTGCAGCAGTGGCTTCCCGGCGGACACCGGATCCTCGAGATGGATCCAACCCACACAGTGGTGGTAAGCTTTTCTCTTACGCTGTACTATATCATGCTATAGTATGTTTGTCTATCTATACTATATCATATTCCAGAATATCCTTATAAAATATATTATGTAAAATAGTGAATCAACAAAAACTTTGTTCAAGCCCATCGTCCCTCCCCGAGGAAGAACCTCCAGGACGCGGCCCTTCAGCTCCTCGGTGGCGATCTTCGTTCCCTGGGTTCCTTGGATTTGCCGAGAGATTCCCAAAGATGTCACCAGAGGGTTTAGGGTTTTCGGCTTTCCTGTGGAAAAGCGGCTAAGTTTGGGGCTTGGAGCTTGCATTTTTCGGTGGATTCAGAACCATCCTTCCACCTGCAGCCAAGCGACGGCTGACCAGGGTCTTGCCGCACTGACGCACGGAGAACATGCCTTGTGCCAACCACTTGGGTTCTCAGATGTCTGTAGAATTCTGCTGATTTTCCATGATTGACAGCATCGTATTTCTTCGTCTGCTATGACGACGCTTTCGGAGCATCGGATCATTCCTTTATTTTCGTCCTGGTGAGTGCAGGACCAGACCCGCACGTAGATTGCAACAGATCCGAATGTTCCGGTCTGGACCCTCTTGAAGAAGCCTGCCTTCTCTTGGGCGTCTAAGTTTACATGTACAAGCACGTGTGTATGCATGTGAGTATGTATGTAAGTATGCAAGTATGTAAGTTCGGAAGCATGTAAATATGTAAGAATGAAGTTTGTAAGTATGTAAGTATGTAAGCATGTATTTTATTGTATTGTATGATATGCGTGTAGGTGTGCACGTGTGTGTGTGTGTGTACGGGTGCACATGTGTACATATGTACGTACGTATGTATGTATGCATGCATGTATGTATGTATGTATTGCGGGTATGTATGTATGTATGCATGCATGCATGCATGTATGCATGTATGCATGTATGTGTGCATGTATGTATGTGTGTATGCGTATGTGTATGTATATGTATATGCATTTGTGTTTGTGTTTGTATGCATATACATAATATGCCTATACATGTACATCTTGTATGTTGAGACAGAGAGAGCGAGAGACACATACAGAGACAGAGAGAGCGAGAGATGCACACACACGCGCACACACACACATATATATACATATATATATACACATGTATGTATGTATGTATGTATGTATGTAGGTATGTATGTATGTATGTATATACAGTATAATATAATATAATATAATATAATATAATATAATATTATATTATATTATATTATATTATATTATATTATATTATATTTTATTTTATTTTATATTATTATATAATATAATACAATACAATATAACATAATATGAAATTATATAATATATGATATCATGTATGATATAATATATGATATAATATATATATATATATAATATGATGTGATATAATATAACTCATTATCTATATACACACATTATGTACACGTGTCGTTAATACAGGCCAAGGGGCTGGGAGCCTTGATGTCGTACCATTCCTTTCGAAGGAAGGGGTCGCCGGCCTTCTTCTTGCCGCCCTTTTTGCCGCCCTTGGTGAGGCGCTTGTTCTTTCCGACGGCCATGGCAAACTCGAGCGCTTGCTCTCACTGGCGTCTCGATTTCTCCTGTGTGGACCACAATGGCTCCTGGAAGGTACAAAGAGGCTTCCTGCAAAGGCACGAGGGGCCGGGACGAAGGACCACTGCAACAGGTTGCAAGTCTCACAAGTCTGGCGATCTGAGCCCCGGCTGGACGTCACCGGTGTTGTAGTCCAGACCAACCCTCGGCTAAAGTCACACTCAACAAAAGGGTTAGACCACTCAAGGGCCTCCAGGCCCCGAGCCCATCGTAGGTCATTCCAGTGTCTGGATCGAAGGCCACTGCTGACCCCTGACAGGTCTGCCAGCTGCTTGACTGGCCGATTCAGAGCTCTTGGCCATCTATGCAACTTCGATCTGGCACCCACTGACTGAGGCTGTCGCTCCAAGGAAGCGGCTCTCCACATACATAACGTTCTGAGAATGCAAGCACTGCAGATAAGGAGCTCAACTGATGGGCCTTCTGCAATGTCTGTGTGCTGAGCAGAAGGCGGCCAAGAAATCTGCCCGGGTCTGCGGATTGTACCAGTCCACATCTCAGAGACAGGGGGAGATGCCGAGGATAGCAACTAGCAAGTTCTAGAGTAACAAAGGGAGGTTCGATAACCGAGGTGGGATTTGACGCTTGCCAAGGTTGAGCACATTCAGCGCGCATTCCACGATGCATATTTTGGAATCTTCCGCTGCCGACGTCCGGCACTCGTACTTTTCAACCCGCTCAGGCGCAGCAATCCAACTGCGCCTTCGAACTCCTTCGCGAAGCGGCAGCATCCACTGCTGGCAAGTTGCGGTGCACTCCTGACCATGCAGTCTGCACCCTTCGTTTTCAGCTGCTGAACAACAAAATGTTTAGCTTGGCATAATGGCAAAGCCCCCTTGCAGCTTTGACCGTTTATGTTTCTCGAAACTGCGACCTGATCGGGGTCCTGGGTCAGAACAGAACTATTCTTTTAGGATGTGCTGTAGCAGATGTACACAACAAATTAATGGATCCTGTCGTCGCAGTGCAAGTACCAGGGGTGGGAAACGCACTCGAAAGAAGATCACTGTGAGGCAAAACAGGGTCAGGGTACCAGTGGCACTTGGAGCATGCGCCTCCACTTGCAACACGCAACATCGAGCGATCAAACATAATCCTTCCTCATCACGAGATATCACGAGGCTTTCTGGACACCGTGAAAATCTGAGAGCCTGACGTCTCCGACAAGCGCCGCAGGTCGGTGCCAGATGTCACTGCCTGAGGGAAACCTCGGAGATTTGCAACCCGTGAGCACAGCGGGATCTGCGGTGATCCAGGTCAAGAATCCCTGCTTTGTCTGACCTGGCTGGCATTTTCACTCATTACAAGGACTTACATAGATCGTTGTGATGATCTTGTGATGCATCTGCTTTCAAGGCTAGCTGTGTAAGAAACAACTCGACATTGGGGTTCCGAAGCCTCCCTTTTTCACTTCGGACCTTTTTCATCGAAAATCTTGAGCCCGTTACCCGACAATGAGAATGAGCCAGCCTAGAGTTGGGTCGAGATGCTTCACATCATGCACTGTCATGCACAGCTCTACGCATGCCTTGAGAGCATTGGCCCCTATGCCGCGAACATGAGAAGTCGGTGAACATGCCGGGAAGTGAACCCAAGTTGCATCACTAGCGCTCGGTATCTGACTGTTCGTGAACGCAAAGACCACGCCCATCATGACTAGAACCTTAGCAGCAAGCAGGGCTAGATAGGGATGACCAGTCTCACGAAGAAGGTGTGAGCTAGTGTGATTGACTCTGTCGCCACTCGGTACGACATTGCTGAGAAGGACAACACCGAGGACAGTGCCAGCGGGCTTCCTGACATCTTTCACACATATTCGATATCTTCGCTATTACCATCTGCAGCATCATTCTTGTCACAAGCCACTCACACTGAAAATGATCCTGCAGAGAAGACAAAAGTTGTGGTGCTCGCAGTACAGCAGACTGGGCAGCTCACGAACGAAGCTTCTTCACAAGGTATACTGACACAAGGCTACTCTGGGCATGCACAGACAGAAGTGGGAGAGCGCACCGATGTAACAGGCCATTGGCCCTAGCCCGCTCTTTGTCTCAGCGCCGGCAGACCTGAAGATCAGCTTGAAGACAGCAGGCGCAGAACAGTTCTTTTGGGCCCACGCATGCCATGCAGCGGTCTGCCCCGACAAGCAACATGCAACGGTCGCAACCCTCACAAGCCCTCACAGCCTCCGCGCGGGAGGCTCAGCAATACGGCCCGCATTGCTGACCTCGACTCTTCACCCGTATCCCTTCCGTCTCCGCTATCAGCGCAGGGCTGCAGACCCATTGGAAAAAAGAGCTCAAGCAGCAACAAATCCAATTACAACCTCAAGCGCCCAGGGCCCAGGAGCCTCCAAAAGAGCCGGACCTTGGTCAAAGCGACTGTCTTGTCTTGGCGAAAATCTTCTCGCAAAAAACAACTCGTCAGCTCGTAGCTCCAAAAAACCGGCTTTGCACGCAGCAGGGGGGGATCTGTTTGTCCCATGCCGCCACTACGGCTGCTGGCACTGCTGCTGCTCTCCCACCACTACTAACTTCTAGGACGATGAGAGCAATAGCAGCAGCAAGATCGATGGGGCCCCCACAAGCTCCTCCGAGCGCCATTGCAGGACACAAAAGGAGATCGAACAACTGCCTCTTTCAGTACCCCTATCACAGAGTTTCGCAGAAAGGCGACTTGGTTTTGACTGCTTTCCATGGCTCTTCACGGAGTGGCTGGAGATGCGCTGTCGCGGTAGCATTGTATCGCTTGCGAAACTCTGTTTCAAGGCTCTGAGTGCAGGTGAGGCCCTGTACAAAATCCTGTGAGCCCGAGGCAAGGGGCCGCGCGACTTCAAAAAACACGGAGGCCCAGTTGCAGCGAAACAACAGCCTGGCAAGTCGCATAGCCCACACACGGTGCTCAAACAGTGTCAAGACAGTTCTAGGTGCAATCTCTCCCGCGACCTCCAACAGTTTGCAGATGGAGTCTCCCATCTCCTGCATTCTCAGCCCATGCTGCTCCGAGAAAGAAGCAAGCCACGACCGCATTGTGAGGCGCACCATGACAAGGCTTCACAAGGCTCTGTAGCTTCTTTCGCCACTACCTTTTCGCTCGCTCGCGATGTGGGCAAGCATGGGGTCCAGACCAAGTTGATGGTCGATGAGACTAGCAACTGCAGGAACCCAGTAGCAACTAGATCCAAAAAGGGTAAAGCGGTACGTCAAGGTAGCAACTTTGTTCACAGATGTGGAGTAGAAACCCGTTTGTAGTGGGACAAGCAGAATGATGCCATTATGGATCGCGAAGCGAAGACTCTCCTGATATCATAATCAGTGGCATTGATCCGAGACTGCCTTGTGCCATCGTATCCTGCGCCGTGTAATGTGATTCTGGCATGCTGGTCTGCAGTCGAGCTTCCCTCTGCTCATCTTTGACCTGCGCACAAGGGCGAGGGCACGAGGGCAGCCCTGGTCCTCCCCTTTGGGTCGGGAGTTGGGGCCTCCCTGCCCTTTTCGGTTTAGGGGGGTTTCGCACAAAGCCCGCGACCTGCTCCCCCCTGATGATGCTGCTCAGCGTCACCCGGCGCACCTCATGGAAAACCACAATGTGCCACACCGGCCACAGCACACCTGCTGTACCGAACAGAGGCAGCGTCCCAGAGGTCATGGTTTCCGGGCACGTAGAAGATGCGACGGAACCTGGCCGAGGTTGCCAAGTGACTTTCAGCACCAGGGATTTCGAGAACGGAAGCAAACTCTGCCTTGCTTCTTACAAAAGCCACTCGATTTTTGAACCCCAGGCCTGTCTCGCGGTACTGAATGTTAATCCCTGGAGACATTAAGCTTTTGGACTGTCATGTACGAACTCGCCGGGCAGGCTTGCTTTTCAGTACCGTTAGAGCAAATCTCAGCTGCGGCAAGGAGTCGGCCAAGTTTCCAGCCTGCCGGAAGCTCTAGGGCAAAGCAGCCCGAGCGTCTCAACTTCCCTGCGTGCCAGCGGATGTCAACATCAAAGCTGAGCAGGGAGCCAACATCAGCACGTCATCGCGGAAGAAGGACGAAGACAGGCTCTTGCACCTGGTGGCTGCTTCCCTTGAACCTCGAGCCTGCCTTTTGCAAGGTGCCTTATGAGCTCCAGATGAAGTGCACGTACCGCACTCTGAACCGTGAAAGTGCGATTAACATCTCAGGAACAGGTGACATGCCGTATGCGTCCCGAGGCACCACTCAGGCACTCCGTGCTGGTCGAAGAAGACATCACTCAACGCCCAGATACGAAGCTCCTCGGAAAGAAGTCAGGTAAGCCAGGAATGAAGGGCTGAGCGAGTTGTCCCGTGTCGTGCGTTTGACGCAATATGCTTGGTTTCTGGTTTTGGCGCAAGAGTGGTCCGTCGATTCGGTTTCTCTTGCGAGGGTGTGACGAGTCGGCACCGGGTCACTTCGGTCACCGATCAAAAGCGACTTGGCTACTTTGCAGGGGTAGACAGTCTTTCTGGAATAGTGCTTTCCTTCGACCTGCCACCCAAGCTTTTTCGCGATGTGTACAGTTGTGACATGACACAAACAGCTTTAGCTGCTAGTTTCTATTGACACTGCTATTCACTTTCCTTATGCCGCAATGTGCTCATTAACAACATTGCCCTATCATGCTTAACTCCTTCCCACCTTGCGAGGCCGTCGCCGATCCACACCGAACTTCGCCCAGCGCTTGGCCGCTGCCTGTGGAGCCAAGCTGTAGCGGCACAGTCAGGTTTTTGTTTCTTGCGGGTTCAAGGCCAGGCAGCCCTTTAGCACTTTATAGAGTGCTGTCGAAAGTCCGGTCTCGTCACGTAGTTGCTTGGCAATGTTTTCGGCTCATAACACTGCGCTGGGGCCGTGCACTCGCAAAGCGAAGCAGTAAAGCCCTCAAGCACAAAGAGGATTTTTGATTCTCTTGAGTGCACGATGCCACACACGCTGCCTTTCTGCGAGTGCGACGCACCGCACCGATACGTTCAGCTCTATTCACCACTTCAAAGCTTACTTGCACAGCCCGTAGACGGCATGATTCTCTGATCCGTTGGGTTTCCCAACAAGGTTTTCAGCAGGATCTAGAGAGGATGTGGTGGCTTTCAAAGACATAACATATCTATCTATCTACCTATCTATCTATTACCTACCTATGTTTCTAGGGCTGGCCAACTCTGGTTCTCTCGCACTGACTGTCACTTCAGCTGAGGAGGACGCGGAGTATTCCCAGCGTATGATCTTCTGGAGACCTTATAGGCATCATCATCAGTGGCATGCAGTGGCTGAGTTGTCTTCCCTAACATGCGCCGCAAGTGGCCCTCATTAGGAGCAACAGACAGGGTGGCAGCGCAGGAGGTTGAGTTTCCGCCATGCTGGTCTTTAGCAAAAAAAGCTGGTACTGTAACTTGCTGAGGTCCAGGCAACTGTTAACGCCATCGTTAGCCGCCTCGAGACTTTAGAGCATGCCGTAAACTACTTTTACACACACAGACACACACATACACGCGCACAGGCCACATTCCTTGCTCCAGGTACAGTACTCAACATTGGTTCGGGTGGTTTCGCTTACCGTTGCTCCTATCACGCTGCAAAGTTTTGGGCGTCTGAGATCCACATTTAGAACTTGGTTTTCGCATTGTCGCAGTGCCGTCACGCACCTTTCGACAGCAATAAGCAGATTGGTCAGGCAACATGACAAAATGCCATAGAGAGCGTGATGAAACAGCTCTGCACCTCGTAATGTTCGTCCAGCCTCCGGGCCTGACGGGAACAAGCAGCTTCGGCTGCTTTCTGCATGTGTGCTGAAACTAGGTCGAGCTCTTCGGAGATGGACGACACACGGCTCTGCGATACCTATAACAACAGAGAGTGCTGTGATTGAATGGAGCCGGCCTTGGCAAAGCAGGCATACGCTGCTTTGAAGTCGTCCAGGATCAGGGATGCCTTGGTGTGTCAGTGCATGACGGAGAGCATACATTGACATACGATGCATGCATGCTGCACTACACGTACGTACAAACGAGGGTGCCTCAGCAGGGGCTCTGGGAGCGACACCTGACCCGCTCGAACCAAAGGCTTCGACCAAATTGGATCCTGGCACAAGGCGAACTCTTTGCTGCGATGGTTCGCCTAGAGCAATTACCTCGAACTTGGTCGTTTTGCACACTGCTCTTCGAAGCGTGAAATCGATAAAGCGATGCTACTACTGCTGCTGCTGCTGCTGCTGCTGCTCCTACTACTACTACTACTACTACTACTACTACACCAAAGCAACAGCAACAGCAACAGCAACAATAATCACCATCACAACCACGAGAATTTCGCTATCATTGTGCCTTTTTCTGTGCGCCACATACCAGGCCATCCTGAACCATCAGGAAGCACTCAAAGATCATCGCAGAAATCATCCTTTCGAAATCTGGCTACTCGCCATCGTTCAGAAATCAACCGGAGGAGCTTCAGTGTATTTGTGTTTGCTTCGGGCCTACTTAAACATCGGTACCGATGTGACTTTGAAAACCTTTTCCGCCGGCAGTTCTTCGAAAACTGCAGTGTCGGATGCACTTAAACGAACGTTAAGAAGTCATGGAAGCATGATGCAAGTACGTCGACATCTGCGAGTCAGTACAGCGTTCGACTCTTTCGTTTCGTGTTTCCGAGTACAGCGGTAACCGAAACAGTGTTCGGTCCGATCGCTTCGGGGTAGGTAACACTAACAGCTATCATGGCGCTGCATAGGCAATAGTCGCAAGCCCATGGGCATGTTTTGAATATCCATTGATTGCTTCTCAAGTCTCGCACCAGAAACAATCAGCATCGATGCTATGAAGCCAAAACTGTCGAACAGACCTGGGCTTTCTCTTGTCGGAATGCGCGCGAAATCTGTAGCTACGGTGATTTCCATCAAACAACCACAAAGCATTGATGATAGTTGGTGTTCACATAGCGTCATCATCGCATCTTCACCATGGCTGCGTGCTATGACCACGGTGTTTGCAAATCAAGGGTTGACCCCGTCCACGCCTTCTCCGATGCAGCCATGGCGTCTGCATAAGCCTGACGAGCGACTCACTTGTGGCTTGCTCCTTCAGAGAGAGCTGAGGCACAGCCACAAGTAGCCTCCTTGGGAAGCTCCAGCTTCAAGAAGCAAGCGGCCCGGTTCGAGAGGACGACGGCCTGCCAGGCAGAGGCGTGTCATGCCCTGCCAGTGTGGCCAGCAGAAGCCCACCCCCAACGGCACGCTGGCGCTTCTTGCCCGTCCTCGTCTTTGGACTCCATCATGGAGCGGTGGTACAAAGCCCTTCGGAGTCACAGTCGCAAGGGACCCAAAAAGCGCAGAAACTGCTCTTGGCTGGCCCGATCCGGCCTGGTGTAAAGCAGGACTGCCACCTAAGCCGAGACGGTGATCAACAACAACTGCAAGCAGCCACAACCGTGTCGGGCGAAGGAGGCACCCCTCTTCTTTGCGGAAGCCACCGCTCCCAAGCCCGGGCAGCGGACCCCATGAGTTCCCTGCTTGAAGGCCAAGGAGGCGCCCTTCAGGAGCTCTGAAACTGAACCACACTGTCATACCAAGTACTGGAGTATACTGGAGTCATACTTCCAGTCTGCTTGGAGGCCTCCTTGAACTTCTCGATCCGCTCGACGGCCGACACCGGGGCATCCGGATCGTCCCCACCATCCCGATCATTGTAGAGGGCGGCCTGCGCCACGACATGAACTCACCCCGCACTCGTCACGGCCGGTCAGAACCATCGGGTCATGGAGTGTAGCGATGCCTCGCACTCCGTTGCCAAAGTCAAGAATTGACCTGCCTGCCAACAAACATCTGCAGGTGCTAAATGCTCTTCGAAAAAGCGCCGGCTGCACCGTCTTTCCAGCGCAGCTGAAGCCCCGTTTGAGGGAGGTCAAGGCCTGCTGGCCAAGCACCGCAGGAGGGCATAGGCTAGGATCAAACTTCGGGTTCTGGCGTTATGTGATCATGCCTTGGACAAGGCCATCATGGTCTAAAGTCTAGGTACAACAGGACAACTAAGACTTGCAGGTGGCCGTTGCCCATCCGAGGGCCTCAGCCTCAAGCCAAAAATACGTCGAACCGAAACAACTGAATGAAGGCATACAAACCGGATGTTGTTAAGGAGGAGTACACCGAGCCGTATACCTCGATCGGGAAGCAGCGCACCGTTATCAAAGACTTTCCGCTGTACGTCCTCTGACTCCCGCGACGAAAAGATCGGCTCTGACTCTGACCTTCCCAATCCTTTGTAGCCTCAGATTACATACTTCGTATTCCATGGCTGCACATCTGCGCTTCAAAGAGCATCTATCAATCCCCAGGTGTCAACCCAGATCCCTGCCCTTCCGGCCCTCGTGAACTGAAGAGCACCTCGCGATTCTTGGAAAGTCGGAGCTCAGCCGTGGCCCGCCGCAACCAGCCCTGCGTCCGTCATACACTCTCCAGGCTCTTGATCGTCTATGTAGTCAGCCATGAACCGACAGTTCGGGTTTGTTCTCAAGTGATGTTCATCATTGCTAATCTGCTAATCTGCGTGCGAGCCTCTAGGTGTGGATTTTTTTGGAACTGCACGCCCTGGTGCTGCGGCACACACTAGGCTGACGTACCACCAGCATAGAGGGCAGCAAGAGTACTCAACAGCTTCTCACTGAGTTCTCAGTGCTTGGTGTTCCGTGCACCCGAATTCATGGCTGCAGCTCCGCAGCTTCTTTCCCGTCCTTCTCAACCTCGCCCTTCTCGCCCTGCCCCTCGCGCTTCGACTCCAGGCGCAGTGGATGCAGGAAGAAGAAGCAGAGGCGACAGAAGAGGGTCACCGGCTCTGACAAAGGAAGCCAGCTGGCACCCCGGGGCATCGGGCCTTTGTAGCGGTCAGCCCCAGTCAGCTGGACACCGGGCTGGGACAGCTCAGCGAAGGTCATAAAAATGAACACGAGCAGGAAAACCTGCAAGCCCACGTAGAGCCCACCGAAGACGTACCTTGGCTCCGGACTACACATGACCTGACAACACCTCAATGCCAAGTCAGTAATGCCGTCCACAGCAACTGCTGCATACGACGTGCACCCGATCAACTCAGAGTCGCTCTTTCGAGCATTGATTTATACTTCAAAGCCGTGGCACCATGACACCAGGCGGCATTTGCTCACCCCCTGTGGGCGCACAAAGGCCAGGAGGAAGATGGCCCAACACCAGAAGCCGATCTGAAGGCCAACGTATGGAATGCTGTGTGCGAAGACTGTGTCCACACTGTGGGAAAGGACCGGATTGAAAATGCCTACCAGCCAGAAGCAGTTCGTGGTCAAAAATACGAAGGCTGCAACAGCCTGGAGGCACCTCTTGCTCCACTTCCCTTGCCATTCGCTCTCGCAGTGGCGATACAACTTGAAGATGGCATAGCCGTGCATGAGGCCCGTGATGAAGAACATGACTGTGGCAGCCTCCATCCAACCCGGGAAATCCATGGCCACACAAATGGACCCTTGCCCAAAGACGTGGGAAATCGAGTTCTCATCAGGGTCATTGTTCCCTGCGAGCCTCGCCACGATCGGCACGACCAAGCTGAGGAGGATGCTGCACCCCATGAGGGTGAGCGGCTTCTCGAGCACATACTTGAACGCTTGACACACCATCTCCGAACTCTCTTTGAGAGGCCTTGAAAACTAAACGTTCCCCTGGTTCGAGCCCGCCACCCTGCAAACTGGGGCATGGTGCTGAGACTCTACGGACCAGCCCGGGACGCAGCAGTTAGACAGTTAGAACATATGGGCCTTGGGCCAGTCTGGCTCCTGGATCGTTGCGTCCTGGTGAAGGCAGGGCAGAAAAAGCTGAAAGCAAAGGAAGCTTCATCAGAGTGACCCCCAGACTCTGAGGGAAGGACCACCGCATCTTCCAGGCTCTTCGCCCAGTCAAAGAGCTTGGCAAACACAAGCGCCTCGGACCGATCGGACGGATGTCTCGGGTCGGAGACTCATGGAATGTTGCTAGCCGTACAAGCCGAGCTGCCCGATTTGACATCAAAGTGGCACGCTGTGCGGACTCTAAGGCATCGCCACCGAGTTCCAGAGCCTGTGACTTGATTCGTTCAGCTCTTTACGGTTGCGGGCCAATGGCAGGTCCCACGACGATGGCAGAAGCTGTACAGCCACATGTCCACTGCTACACCGGACCCCTGCCTGACCGTAGAGTGAGAGTGCCGTATTCCATTCCTGGTCAAAATGTTAATCTGTCGCAACCTTCAGCAAAACCTAAACTAATGTCACAGCCAGCCTTGTCTTTGAAGGCTTTGTCTGCGGCTTGCTTTGTCTCCTGTCGAGCATTACGCCCCTTAAGCTCACTGAAATCTCCGTCGCGACCAGTGCAGTATGCATCTGACACAAGAGGCGCATTCAACAAGAATAATGACCGGCAATGTGAAAACAAGCGGACGGTCCTCCCACGGCCGTTGCTCGGCTGTCTCGGTCTCTGCCTTGGCTTCCGGCGCCTGTGCCACATGCTGGAAGAGGGCGGCAGCGCGTTGACTCTGAAGCGCCGGCTTGCAGAGCACAGAGCTCACAAATCTCACAGATGCTCACAGCGCCTGCGCCTCCTCGCTGCCCAGGGCCGCCTCGAAGCCCGCCGGCAGAGGCGCGGCCGCGAGACCCTGCAGAGCACTCGGTCATTGCGGGTTTGGCTGGGAGTCAGGCTAAGCGGATTGCTTTCTGAATCTGTCCTGGAGGGTTTTGGGGTGCGTGAAGCAAGCGCGAAGCAGAAGATGCAGGCAGTCGGCAGCATGTGCTCTTTTTCTAAAGGACTCAGTCAAGACAATCGAGATCATGGGAGTCGTCCTGAAGCTACCTGCCCTGCGGGCAGTCTGCGCGGACAAAATCTGCCGAGGCCTTCAAGCCAACGGCTCACTTCTCCCTCTCAGTGCCCTCCCTTCTGCTGCACGGCCATCGGCTTGGTCAAAAACTCCTCATAGTAGTACTCGTGGCAGTCCAGCTTGCCCTTCTTCCACGGTGGATAGCCGACGGACTTTGGGTTGGCCCAGGCGCGGAGGCAATCGTAGAAGTCCACGAGGCACGGCATCTGAGCGCTGCGAGCGTAAGGGTTGCGAGAGGTGCGTTGATTGATTGAAAAACCAGCGGGCACGCTTCGAGCCAAAAAGGTAGCCCACGCAAATCATGACTTGAGCGCCTTTGCTAGCTTGTGCAAGCAACGGTGCAACTCCACGGGTGTCCAAATGGATGTGTCCAAATGCTTGATTGCCCAAAAGCGGCCCACCTCTGCTCCAGCGTCGCGACGCTGCCGCTCGGCTTCGGCTTCGAAGCCTTGGTCTGGGACGACTCGAAAGCTCCATCATCATCATCATCATCATCAAGTTTTGTCCGGGTTCCCGGCGCTTCTGGCGAAGCTCCCGAAGGCGCCTGAATCTTAAAGCACGACGGTGGATACCAAGAACGACTCGTCTATCATTCTGGGCGTGGCATCGGGAGAAGAGCCGCTGTTATCGGAGCAGTCGCAATTGCCCATCGCAGAGGCACTAGCGGCCGCATGGTTGCTTCAGCCACTACAAGCAGCAGCAGCAGCAGAAGCAGCAAATGCACATATGTGAGGGAAGCAGTGGGGCCAGCCGTGTCACTGCTGTCCCTGCCCGGCCTCTTGTAGTCTTTCATCTCTTTAACGATCGGCTCCATCACGAAGTGAAGCTGCTCCCCTTCTTCGTCCTCCAGCTCGCATTTTTCTTCCTCGGACCTCTGCTTTGCGCTCAGAAGGACTCACAGGCAGCTCCGGACTCATCAGTCATCCGGAATCGATGGCGCCAGAGGCACCCGACTCCCCGCGAGATCCCCCCCGGGAGCCCGACGGACCCGGAGGGATGCTCCACTGCTCAATCTCCTTCTTCCTCAGCTCTTCGAGACAAGCTCACACTGTGATGCTCCAGCTCCTACTATCCTCCAATGGCCGAGCCGAGCGGCTTCCTCCGATAGGCCACAAAAGTCTCGTTTCGGCCCTCACGAAGACACACAGATAAAACAACCGGAAACAAGAAAGGAGATGTGAGAGCGTTCGGATGCCCAAATCCCTCAGGCATGCCTTGCGCCTCTCCTCGATCTTGGCCTGTGCACAATTCGTGAATCGGTGCGTGATGTGCTGATGCGCTGCAGTGAAACCAGGCCTGGAGATCGAGGTACCGCTGCTGTTCGGTCCCGAACCTCAGCGGCCGAGGACGTCAGCTGTCGACTCCGGCTGTGCACTGAGCCCAGGAGCCAGCGCTGCAGCAGCTGGCCATGGACCTTGTGCCACGTGAGGGCCTCGGATGGACAAGCCGGACCGTGTGCCGGAGGCATTCTGCAGTCTGCTTCAGACTTTTTGGGGTCCTCTCACGAGCCGCAAGTCGAATAAAAAGATCCTGTCCTGTGAGCGAGCGCCTGTCCTGCCTGGTTCTGCAACCCACTTTGACGCGCGATGTTGACGTTTCGGCACTTGGCGCCGCAGGTTCGATCTTGCCAACATACCTACTTTTCCCCTCCTAGTGTCGCATTTCGCGCTCTTCCGAAGCTTCTCACAGCATCCCACGGAAGTGTCTCCCTTCGAAGGCTCGACGACCCATGGCTTCTTGAGCTTTGAGCTCTTCCCAGGTGCACGGCCCCCTAGAAAGTGTGGACAGGGCCAAGCTCACTTTTTTGCACTTGGGTTCACAGGGTGTTCGAAGCAAGCTTTGGTCCTTACTTGAGGTGCTCCTGGGTCTGAAAAGTCCGTGCTCGATGCTGGCAAGAGTAGATGGCCCGGCCAGCTTTGGATGCACAGCGTGTGGTCTCATGCATCAGTTTTAGATACTTGAGGTGTGATCTGCACAATCAACACACTCAAGCTGCCAGCTGTGCTGCTTCCGCGAAGGAGTCGGATTGACAAGTCATCGAAAGCCAGATGCCGGACAGCAGCTTGACTTCTGAGTCCCCCACCCACTCATCAGTTTCAAGTTGGATCCTGAATGCGAGCTTGCTATACTGCGCCATGTTTGAAGTTTGCCAAGAATCATTAGAATCATCATCATCACCATCATCACCCAGGTCACAATCATCATCACCATCGTCGTCATCATCATTATAATCATCATCATGACATCATCAGCAACAGTAGCAATGTCCAGCATCGTTCGCAGCTGGAGATTTACTGCAAATAACACTGAGACTTGACTTGTGCGACTGGCATCTTGGCTCTTGCCGAGCTTCCAGTAGTCATCCGTGACCTTGCCCTTCGCTTTAATCACCTCGTCGCACATGATTCGGCGAGTAATCGGCCCGTCCTGCGACTTGCTCCGCGGCTTTACGACTAGTATCTAGAGCTTGCAGCGGTTTGCAGATCAGCCCCTGCATGCACTGCATGCTATCCTCTGCGGGCTTCTTCCGGATCACCATTGCTGGCTTGAACACCTCGGTCGCGCGAGGCTCGAAAACAGTCAGGGAAGCCATGCTGGGCCGGGCGCCAGGCGCAAACCCACTGGTTTTGGTAGTTGTTGGTGGAGATGAACTCATCCACCCACTTCTTTTCCTCGGCCAGATCGCTAGGAGAATCCCGCCACACAGCCCAAAACTCGGCAAGTTTGCGGCAAGCTGCTGCTTGTAGCTGAAACTCGAAGGTGGAGCGCAGCCTTTGGCCACATACTGACATACGCAAACGCAACTTGGCAAAAGGTGCTTGACAAGGCGGAGGACGGAGTGATGACAAGTTGCGCCAGCAGGGACCCCACTACGACTACACTCCGATATTTGCAAGCATTCGGAAGGGCCAGCGGCGAGACTCCAAGGGCGAGGCATCGCGAGGCATCGCGAGGCCCGAGGCGCGCGCGAGACGCTTGGACACAATCGAAAGTCCGCACAACGAGCAGTACCCGCACGGGAGAGCGAGAGACTTCGGAACCGACAGCAAGCGCACCGGACGAATCGAGCAATCTACGCTCTTGCGGAGTCTTCGAGTGCGCAGTGCCTGCAGTATCGCGGGGTCATTTCCTCAGTCTCCGACGTTCAAGCGTGGGTCTTGGGTTTAGTAAGCACGCAAAGGTCGGCCTACGCCGTGTTCAAGCCTACATGTCCCGTAGTAATGTTGTGGACACTGCAATGAAGCCAAGTCGAACCAAAGAGACAGTGCCGAGACAGTTCTCTTGTCGACACAATGGCGTTCTGCATTCATGTTCCTTCCGCAGTTGCCCAGTGCCATCGAGCCGCCCATTCATCTCACGCTCGACACGCTCCAGCTCCCGCTTCTTGTCCTTCTCCAGAAGATCTCGGAGGAGGCCTTCCTCCTCCTCCCGCTCCCCCTGCTGGCGCTCCTTCCTCTCACACCACCTTCGCTTCGCCGCCTCCAGCTCGCCTCGGAAAAAGGCAGCAGGACGATCAGCTGTAAGACAACGACCAACCAGACACAAAAAAAACGGTGGTTTCTTCTTTGCAGGAGATTGGCTCTGCTTCTCCCGTATGAGTCGGGTCAGCTCCGCCTCTTCGTCCCCCTCCTTCTCACCTTCCACCCGCAGCTCCGCGGTCGCTTGGCCCGGCTGGCCGGCAAAGGTTGGCGATTGCTCGCCTTCCTCCTCGTCCGCTGAGCCAGGATCTGGAAAGCCTTCAGGAGGACCCAGGTTGAAGCGAAGGAGAAAGCTCTCCACCTCTGGCCGCGGCTTCCGGACACGCCTCTGCTTTGTGAGCTGTCCCGCGCTCGCCTTTAAAACTTCCTGGGTCTTTGCATTCGCCCGCTCGTCCTCGCTCTCGCTCGCCAGCTCCTCGTCGGCAAGAGCCACGTGGCCTCACAGACTCAAGGGCAAGTGTAGATGTGCTCAGGCCCAGAATCCCTCGCCTCCTTTAGCCAAGGTGCCTGCGTTTGGCAGGGCCTGCCTCAGGAGCCCGGTGTTGCAGCACCAACCAAAGCCTTGAGGATTTAGCTGGGCATGATGGCCCAGGGCTGCCGCGGCTTTGCCGAAAGCAACCGGATCCGTTCCCGGCGACGACTCCCAGATGACTGCCACTGAGGCCAGCCCCAGGCGCAGTCCACCGCGCTCTTTGGCATCTCCGGCTACGAACTTCCGCACGGGGAATCCAGCAGCACGAGGGTTTGACATGCTAACCCTGAGGTGTGCTTGGTGGTTGTAGTTCTTCAGATGTCGCTTCGCCACGACATCCTTGCAGCAGGCTGCATTCATTGATGGCACCAGTGGATTGCCATCCAACTGTATGTGGACCGTCACACCAAGGGGCCCACGACGAGTGGCGTCTCCGGGCACCGGCAAGCCCTCACCATCGATCACAAAAGTGACATTACACGCCTTGTTCGGCGCCAGCTTCAGCAAAGGGTTCTGGAATCGTATTAACACCATACTTCCTTTGAACGTCGGCGACCACGCAGACAGAACCGGGTCCGTGGCCTTTGCACGGACCGTCAGCGGCATCGCCAGCTGTAGAGCACCGGTCTCTTTGTTAGACTGCCGGAGAAATGCATGTGGCTTGTGCCTGAAGACCACGACCAAGTCACCTGGAGTGGTGTTAAAGCTTGGCCAATGGCCATCTCCTTCCAACCTGTACTCGCTCCCGTCGGCTTGGCCCGGGTCGATCTTGATATTCACGGTCTTCAGGTTCTGATTCGTCCCTCCGAAGGCCCGCTGCATCCGATCCCGCTTGACCTCTCGGATCTTCAAGCCACCTCACAGTCAAGAGGAGGCCGGCTGCAATGTCTACAGCACCCGATGCATTGAACAGCATACAATAGCATACAGTACTAGTAAACTAGCATCATGGCAATTGAATGAGTACCGTCCCACGACCCTTCGCCCAGTTCCCACCTCTCAACGCCTTCTCCAGGGAGATCTTGATCTCAAGGCGGAGGGCGGCGGCCTTCGGCAGCTTCGGAGCCTTGGACTTCAGCAGGTTCTGAACCTCCTGGCCGCGGGGACTTCCGACTGGATACCAGTAGTAACACCAATTAGTAGTCGTAGGAGTCGTCGTCGTAGTACTAGTACTAGTACTAGTAGCAGCAGCAGTAATGTGTCCATGAGCAGAGCCACGAGTTTTGTGGCAGGTTTGTGGGCTCGTCCTGCGCGTTGACACCTTCGCTTCGGCCCTCCTTCTTCCCGGACCAGCGACCCCAGAAGTTCGAGTCACTGTTCGTCTTCTGCGAGTAGAAGGAGGAGTTCATCCCCTGCAAAACAAAGACCGCAGTTCAATAGATTCTTGGCGCTCCAGAAGCCCCCAAACCTGTAAATCTACAAGGCAGCCCTTGCCTGGGACTTGGCTCTTGCCTCGTCGAAGCGGGCGCGGTCGTACTGCCGCCGCGTGGCGCGATCTGAGAGGATCTCGTACGCCTCTTGGGTTTGGGAGGTTTGGCAGGGCTTTGGGCTCGCCATTTCGGAGTCAAGAGTCTAGACTCCTTCAGGCTGACTACAACCGCATCCGACGAGGAGAGTACTCGCTGCGGCATGTCATTCGCCAGACGACGCACAGCACCGAGAGGGGCCTCCTGGATCTTCTCGAACTCGTCCTGCATCTCCCGGAGCTTGTCGGGCTTCTTGTCCCTGTTCTTGTCCGGGTGGTACTGCAGGGCCAGGCGCTTGTAGGCACCCTTGATGTCCTCCAGTCTGCCAAGGAGGCAAAGGAGGAAAGCATCGTCTCGGATCACATGGGAAGACTACTCTTCATCGCCACGAGTGCTTTGGCTTGCCGAATTGCCCAAACGACAGCAATTCCGAAGACGACTGACACGCAAGATGCGCTCAGTCGCTGAGGCGACTACCATCAAAGGGCACAAGGTGCGTTGCCCCTCCAATAAGAACTGAATTAGAAGCTATGGCTCTAACCCTGGGATACCATGGTGCATATCGACCCCGGAATGCCCATGTCCTTGACCGATGCGAAGTCATCCACCTCTAGCAGCTTGTAGTAGTCATTCTTCGAGTCGAACTTCCGGATGGGTGCCACCTTGAAGTCCGCCTCATCGTTCGGCTCGTAGCCGGGATCTGTTCCTCAGATATGGATACGAAGGACTAGACCGCACGCATCATTGAGCATGAGATTGCGATGGGAGGGCCGCCGGTTTTTGCCTTAAGCCAGCCCAGCAGCGTTTGCGGATCAGATTCCGGATCTTCGTAAGCTCTTCCTCGATGTCTTGGGACTTGACAAGGGCCTTATACAGGCCCGTGTCTTCCCACTTCACCTTCGGGCCGGTGTAAACATCCAGGTAGTCGTTCTTCTTGGGTCGCTCCTTAGCCTCGGCTGAGCTTCGGCAAAGCCTCTTTCTATGGGAGCCGCCATGTCTTCTGACAGAAAGGGCAAGTTGCGAGCTGAGCCTCCTCCTGGCGCAGCGCATGCGTGCGGGGGCCCCTAACCAAGCCTCTAGTGCTTCACAACCTGGAGCGAAGACTCCAATGCCCTTAAACTTAGAAGTGGGTGCATGTGTGGGTGCTTGAGGAAGACTTGCTTAGATGGGAGGGAGGTCTGAGAGGGGCCGTGACGCAAGGATCTAACCGAGTCATCGTGAATCAGCATGTAACCCAAAAACGGAATGTCGAAAACATGAGCGCCAAAGAAACCAAACAAGAAATCCAAGAATTACAACCTAAACAACAGAAGCGCATGGTGACTATCGTCCCCACATGATCTGCATAGATACTTGCGGCAGCCAGAGCGCGATCTGAGACAAGATGTTGCACAACTGCAACCCCTGCTCGCTTCGAACAGCCCGTTCGGAGCATCTGCAGCCTACTTTTGACTCAACCGGGCCTGCTGCTTTGCCAGCTGGGCATCGAAGGTGACCAGCTGATTTCCAGTCGGGGCTGGCCTCTCCTCGTCATTGCGTCGGCTTGGAAAAGCGGAGTCCGGAGTCCGCGCTTAAGCACTCGATGCCAGTGTCATGTTCAAGCTGCGCCACAAAAACTCCGTCCTTGGGTTTCTGGCCATTGGGCCGGTGCATGCAGGGCCTTAGCTCTAGTGGATGCGTCTCCCAAGATGTCAAAGGTCTCGTAAGGTCTGTACCCGCAGCTGGCCCTGGAAAAGTAGTGGAAAATCAGGGGGTCAGGCGCACACACGCCCTCAAAGATCTTCTGTCAACATATGCAGTAGATTAAGTAGATAGCATGGCTGGCTGGTCGTGGCTTTGTTTTTTCCAGTCTCTGCTCCAACGCGATGCAGTTTTGTCTAGATGCAGTCGATGGGTTCTGAAGGCAGGCTCAGCACTGCTGCCAGCCTCAAGCATGAATTTGCTTGGAGCCGCAATGCTCGGGCGGCACAAGTTCCACACTCAAAGCGGAATCAGGCTGAGCAACGTCGTCTCCCCTGTACTAAAGCTGTTCTGTGCCAACTCTCACATACTTTGGGAGCTTGGATTTCAACAGATGATTTTAGGATCTGTTTGCTGAGTCGTGCCGCTTGGGTTCGGAGGTTGTTCAGCTTATAGTGGCAGACTGAGAATTAGCCTGACATGCCTTAGCAAGCTGGAAAGACCGTCTTTCCACCCGAGAATCTACAGAAGCCCTTAGGGATGCTCGACGGGAGCATCTCGGGTTCACAGGGACGGGTGCTTTCCATTCTTTTTCCGCTCACAGGCAACATTAAATTTGGAAACCCTTTGAGACAAATGCTCGGAAGCACCTGGGACACCTTGACTCTCTGCCCACTCTTCCACCCCAGTCCCTTCTCTGCGAGGTTTCCCATGGCAAAGACAATCGCGCGGCTTAACTTCTGCTTGACAAGCTTTGGTCAAAAAATGTGGCTCAAGCTGGCTTTGCCACGCCAAGCTTCTCGTTTACTGCACTGCCGCCCAGCGGAAGCCTTGAGAGCACCCCATGGGCCCTAGCAATCCGGAAATGGGTTGGGCGGCTGCACAAAGTGTGGTTAACATCGGCCCCTTCTGTGCCCGCACCATCAGAACACGCCTGGTGTTTCCGATGGATAGGTTTCGGGCACTTCAGGGCCTGTGAAACACCTCCTACCATGCATGCTGCGATGTAGATGTCTTGAAACAAGCAAGAGACTCTGCGATGCAAGCGCTGACGTCAGCTCGCTCGTGGATGCAAGTAGTCGGGCTTGCACAGAGAGTCCACTTGCCTCGCTCCAGGAACAGGTGTGCAGACCGACAGAAAGCAGTGAAGCTGAGAGGTCCGACCGAAGCAATCGACTTCACTGCACATGGATCTTCACGTCTCTGCTCACATAAACGGCTTCACTTCCGAAATGCATCCCGGCATTGCCTCTAATCAGCTGCCAGCCACCAGAGCGGAGGGCGGAGCCTGGGTCGAGTCTGTGCTTGGCTCCACGTTACGCACTGCCACTTCGCGTGAGGACCTCTCCCTGCTGCAGGTGAAGAGGCACAAATTGACAAAGCTACCATTTGCATCAGTCGTGGCTTCGCAGATCGCTTGCGGGATGGGACAATCAACTGAAGATATTGATGCATTGTGAACTCGATGCGTGCGATGCGGGAAGACGCCCTCACTGAATCTGAGGCAAATTTTCCCGTTCCCTCTGATCTGGGCTAGTGGCTGCAATCGTCTGAGGCTGCGGTCGTGCTCCCGATGTTCGGGCTGACCTCGAGACTCTCTGAAGGCGAATGTCCGCGGCTTGGTCTAGAGGCCTCCAGAGGGCTTGGGGCAGAGGGTCTAGCGTAAAGCGCTTAGCACTTTGAGGTTCTTGTTGCTGGTTGGGGGCATCAGGGTTCTGATGGTGAAGTGCAACAGGACTACCCGGCACCCCGAAGATAGGATGAACGCAGACGGAGAACACGAACCCTCTTAGTGCATTGTCGAGCTCTCCGAAACCCTGAACCTGCCCAAAACTCCAAACTAGTCTGCCACAAGGTCCAATCACATGATCCAACTCGCAGCACAGTCGATGATGAAGTCCTGTTTAATGGCTTGGAGATGCAGGACTTGAGTTCAGGCTTCACTGGCCCTTCACCTCATGAGATCGGCCGGAGTCGGATGCCTGTAGGGAACCGACCAGGTTCAGGTACAACAGCCGGGCCCGCATAAGTTCAAACTTTCTATAGGCTGAATTCCTTTGCGACATGGCAACCGGCCGTGACCGGACTCGCTCAGTGCAGGGCTGCGGTCGCCTCATGCGGTTGCCGCCCTGCCTGTGACAGAACATCTGCTCCGAGCAGGGCTGCACTTGTCCAAGAGAGGCACTCGACAGCTCTGAGGCAGGCGCACTGGTGGCGCGGACGGCGGCCGCACGGGAGTGGGCGTAGGAGTCCACGGTCTAGGAATCTGGCCTCTCTCGTCTTAAGCTCTCTCGCAAAAGAGCCGCAGATGCGAGTGGCGCGGATCCCTGCGCGGCTCTGGCCTGCAGGCATCGAGATGCGAGGATCTGGCCTCGGAGCTCGGCTCACTTCCGCGTAAAGCCTTTGGCTCCTCGCTGGGCGGGGCCCCGACTCAAAGACTCGCGGGTTCCCCGGGTAGCCTTTGGCCATGTCCTGGGGCTCTGAGGAAACTCCTCTCGAATCCGACTCGGATCCACTCAGCTCCAGGCATACATGTGGGTGCCTAGGCCGAACACTATAGACTCCCCAGGTTTTCGCCGGCCAGGTGAGACAGCTCATGTCTTGCCAAGATGCATGGACCTCTCTGTTTCTGAAAGACCTTCCGATTGTGCTCGTAGGCAACCTGTCCAGACTATAATAAACATACATCAACCGACCTGTGTTGGGAAAGACTGTCCGTTTGAGGCGCTCAGTCTCAACCAATCCCAGCTTCAATTCGACGCCTTGACATGAGGATTGGGCCGGGTTCTCCCTGCACAGCAGAGGTCCACGAACCTGCGCAGCACTAAGTAAACTCATGCGCTTCTCTGCGAGTACTGCCTCTGCCCCGGCCCCCACTCTGTTGTCCCCACGACTCAGACCGGCGGCGGACAATCGTGGCCCGGCTCTTCCTAGCTGAGATCAGAGCTCAGACAGTCCCTTTCGGCGGCCTTTGCGGCGAAATGTGGCTTCACTCAGCACGCAAGCTCGAGAACGACGGTGTCTGTGCTTCAGGGCCCCGCCTTTCTGAGGCGGGGCAGCCTCCAAGCGGCGCACCATCTGACAGACGAGTTATTTCTGGGGTCGCATGCACAATGGCCCGTCGAAACACGCGTGTTCAATCTGCAACTTAATTCGACCAAATCCTCTTGACCCTGAGTCTGAGTTTCTCCCGGGCCTCTCGATATTCGTGTGCCTCAGGCACCAGCATTTCTTCTCACCTACTTTCAGTGTCAGCACACCAGATGCCGGGTGCCGGGCGGACGGCTCGCACTTTTGGACATTGCCGTCTCTATTCACATAGACCTCCACCTGTGCCATAAAAGACAATGTTGATACAAAAACCTGCATCACGATCATGAAGGGTGGAAGGAACGTCGATCACAACAGCAGCAGACGATGTGTCCTCGTGGGTGATGGGATTGTACCGGAGCTCCTCCGGCAGGAACTGCCTCGACTTACACTGGTTGACACGCTCAGAACTGTACAGAGTGAGCTTGCAAGCCCCGCAAGACCGGTCTTCAGAGTCTCAGCGCAGGGCCGATTCGGCGCCCAGCCGGCATCCTGGAGCGGTCAGGGTGAGGGCTGACTGCAAGTTCAGCGACCCCAAGGAGCCTCCGCCATGGCAACGTCCGGGCCACCGCCAGGGGGCTGAGCACAGCGGGAGAAGTACGGGAGAAGCACAGTGGGAGTGCCAGTGCAGACAGTGCATCCCTAGACTAGGTGCCTCCCTTTCACGTCAGGAACTTTAAAATCACCACAAATCGTTAGGCCGCCCAAAGTCGGCCTTGCAATGGACCTCTGCAACAAGCGCTTCGTCTGCAGACTGCCAAGCCTCGGCTGTATCGCGACCACCCGGACAAGCAACCTCCGACTGAGCTTCTGGCCCGTACTGTCCTGGGCGTGCGCATGCCAGCCGGCCGAGCCACACCTCGACTGCGCAGCTCGGCCGCAGGGCCGCAAGCAAACCGGTCTGTATGTTGAGGACATGGCCCGGGTCCGTTTGTGCCGCTCGCAGCCTTTTGCTTCTATAGTTCCAGCGTCTGTAAACCGACTTCGAGGCTTTGGGGCACGGGCGCAGGAGGGCCAGGACGTCCAGTGGAAGGACGCCGCAGCTCCCGTCGTGGCTCAGCTGGGGCGGGCACAGTCGGTGCCGCAAGCCATTGCGTTGGAACATCGTCCGCACTCCCCGTGAAACCCGGTGCACGGGGATATGCGTTGTCACGAAGAGTCGCTTGCGTCGAGGAAGTGCAGGCAGCCTTCGCCGGCAGCCACAGTCGGTCCCTGTTGGACGCATCTAGGTCGGCTTTCGGCGACGCGGCCACAAGCGCTGCTGCCAGGGCTGTGCCAGCACTGGTGTGGGATTGCTGAGCTCCGCAGCTTCTGCTGAAGTCAGGTCCACCATAGAGTCGAGCGCCTGCCATGTACTGACAGCACAGGCAGGACCCGGCCCCCCCCGGGGCCCCGGGGCCCACAGGCCCCTTGATCCGAAACGCCTGCTGTCCACACAGTTCCCACAGTTCCACCCTGCACGTCAGCGATCAGCACTGATCCGCTCGGCCCTATTTTGTTGGATTCCGTCGTTTTCCTTCGAAGCTCCCCCAGTCTGATCTGTGCATGCCCCTGATAGGTCTGCATGGCATCTGACGACCGGAGGCCCTTTTGGGTTCCGGAATGTGGCCTTCTGCATGGCCTTGGCCATTGCACACGGGCTCCGCCAATGTCTGCCACCTTCGCTTCACGAAGGCCGGACAGCTGCAGCGTGGCCCGATTGAATAAGAGGCTCCGCACAGTGACCTTGCACCAGTAGGGATACAATACAAGATAGCGCTGGGCAGCCTTAGTTTGGGATCTCAAGAGCAAAGCCCGGCTGCATTCTGTGCAAAGTTGGAGGGCAGCCGCCGGGCTTCGACTTCCCAAACGGAGGTTCGAGAGGAGCATTCCGTGCGGATGAACAGGTGGCAGGAAAAATCCCACAAGAGCACAAGTGCAACAGTGCGGAAGACAGTCGCCCATCACAGGATCTTGCGATTAAGACAGTGTCTGATGGGATCACAACACCTGAATTCAGTTTCGTGGCAACCGAGATGGTTGCAATTCAGTTGTCATTGCAATGAAGTCATTCAGACGGCGGCAGCTTGTGGCCAAAGCAGCACAGCTGCGCGTAGCTCTCATTGTCATGTTCTCTCCGCGCCCGTCGCTCCGAAACAGCATGTGCTTCGTTGGCTACCTCGAGCGAGGGCGTCCACGTGCAACGGGCACCTTGGCGCCGAAAAGCCCCCTGGAATGACACGACTTTGGAGCTCAGCTCCCCCCCACCTCGGCGGGCTGCCTCCGCGGGGCGGAGGCTGTCGTGGTCACCTGGGGCTGGTGGAAAAGGCTAGCGGCGAGAGAAATCTCGCGGGAGGCCCGGTGGGAAAAGCCGCCGCCTTGGCGGGAGCTGATGCCCTGCTCGATGGCCGCTCCTGGCGGCCTGGCATCCAAAAAGTTGCTCAAACTTGCGTTTTGGTTATGACTATGAAGTAAGTCCACACCCGTGGGGCTGCGCAGACCGTGCCTGGATCTGAGAAGCTGGGAGGGAGCACTTTGAAGGCGCCTCTCTTCGAGCTCTTCGAGGCTCGGAAGCACTGAGCTCCCAAAAGCACGTGCTCAGCACTCCACGGTTGCCGAAGCACTCGTTCATCAGACCTGAGTCACGCCATCCCTTCAGTCGTGCGGGCTACCGCAGAGCGCAAGATCCTGGCTGAAGTGCTCAGCGTAGCCGGGAGACTTCGAAGGTCGAAAGGCCGCCTCAGCACGGGAAGTCAACAGCTGCCAGGCTCGAAGATGTGAACCGACGAGGCTTGGGGCTCGGGCACACTTCTTCGCCGCTGCATCGGCCAAAGAGTTGGCCGTCCACGCTGTCACCTACAGCAGCTTTGGCGTCAAGATGCCTGCGTAAGGCTCTTGTGTTGACATCCTTCAGACCACTGTGCTTTGGCGAGGGTACATTCGACAGGATGCTGCTACAAGTGACCATGAAAAGGCGTGCCCGACAGAAACTATAGGAAGATGAAGTACCGCTTCCCGCCTGTGACGGTGGCCACTCGTAGCAACGCAAAGGCGTGTAGCGCGCGGGGAGCGGTCTCAACAGCTTCGCATCCTGCCATGCCTCCGGAGGAAAGGATGTGATTCGCGACGGACTGAACGACCGGCCCTAGCAGGAAAATCGAAGCGGCTGTAGCCCGCATGTACTTACCAGTGACTCCTGAAACAGACAGCCCTTGAAATTGTTCGTTCGGTTTTGCATCGGTCACTCTCCGTTGTTTGAATCATGTTCATCTTTCCCACTCTTCAACGTGTACCATTCGCCCAGGTCGCCCCTTCACGCAGCTCTCCAACTGTTATTGCAACACACACAAACTGTCACAAACACCTCGCCTGTCGAAGAGGCTCCCTTGCACCCATCTCCGAGCCCTGATGCGAACCGAGCAGAACGGATCAGTTCAACTCGCCTGTGGGAGCTCCGGAACTAGGAGCTCTTGCGCATTCGGTCGCCTCGGCCAGCAGAAACCTCGGCCCTCTCGCTGTCGTCGCCGTCGCACCTGCCTGAAGCACGGAAGTCGCAGGTCTGGGCGGGTGTGGGACCCGGACACTTTCAGAGCTTTGAAGCCTGGCCCGAGGGAGGCGCCTCTTTCCGCGGCAGGGTGGGCCTGCGCTCGTCCCCGACAAGGCTGCAACCTTGAGATGATCCCAACAATCCCTGCGCCTCGCGGTAAGGTGACAAGGTTTCAGGAGCATGGCCTCAGGAAGACTCACCGTCGTTTGAGAGATCTTGTATTCACCAGGCATCGATATAGCTGCACAGTTGAAAACCGGAGAGAGCAACATGATTCCAGGGAGCGTGGCCCGAAGTGCACAGGCCACGCAAGCGGCCAATTCCGGTCCCCGATGTGTCTGCTTGAACTTGTTCGCCTGATCCCTGTGTGCTCCACTCTGACCTGGCGTGTTCTGCCTGACTCGGACTGTGCAGCCAAGCCAACTAGCCAACATTCAGGCCGATGTGCGTCCGTTGTTGAGCTAGTCGTGATGTGTGGCTGCAGACACTGCTATCATGCCGAAGACTCTTGAGAATTGAAGCGGAGGACAAGGAATTCAGGCTCTCAGCGGTGCCAAGATGCCTTCAGGCTGGTGTTTGACTGCATTCCTCATTTTGTCCCAGGGCGGCGCGGACGCTTGACCATCAGCGCCTGCTCGAAGTTGCTGCAGCATCTGGTAAGCTGACATGGCAGCGCCGTTGGCCAAGCATGCACGAACAAGCCTCAGCAAGCGTGAGCGGTGGCGTGAGGCAGTTACAATAAGCAAGTGCATGGGTGAGCGGGTATGAAGTTCTAAAGGCAGTCATGATTGCACAACCCGGAAACCGAGCCCGTGCCAATGACCTGCCCTTGCTTGCTTCTTGGCTGAGGGAAGGGGCCCGGCAGGGAGGCCGCGGTAGAATCGTCTCTGCCGCCATGCCCCCACAAGCAGTCCACCGAGTCTGCCCACACCTGGTTTGTTGCAGGGACTTGAGCGCTGGTCTGGTGGTATCTGCTGGCTTGCCGAAATCTTTTTGACCCTGCAGAACTTGAATCATGGCCTTCGGTACAGTAAAGTGGTACTAGGCCCACAAGAATGAACCGTCGAGGCATGGCTAAAATGCCATTCCCTGACACACACGACATGACGAGTCTGGCTCCCGAAGCTGCCTGCATCCGCCTCCGCCCGGGAGCCCAGCACCTGGCGTAAGGTCGGCTCGCGGCGGCTCGCCGCAGGGCGCTTGGCCGAGTCTAAGCGAACTCCGATAACCGGTGCCTCGCTCTGCAGCTGGCTTTTTATCACATCCAGCGGCCAAGCGGCTAGCCAACCTTCACTTTGCTCGCAGAGAAATTCCACAGTCGGTCACCCGTACAGGGGAGAAGTCAAGCCAAAGCGCTGATGAACACGATGCCGGGGGGCAGCAGCTTGTTACTATGCAGCCTCGCAAGAAAGGATGCTGCCGGAAGTCTAGGAAGTTTACCAGCTCGCTGGAGCGGTTCAACCTGTCCTCGGTTGAGGGACGTCAATGTCAAGGCTTCGTCCCCATCCTGCATTTTCACGTCGGTACCGAGCGACAGAAAGGACGAAGAACAGCGTGACCAAGACCACATTCCGGCTGCACGTCGCAGAGAGGCCTGGGCAATTCCATGTGGGAGGAGCGGCTCCCCTCTAGCACAGTTATGCTGCCCCGCCTTGCCAAAGACGCCGGGTTTTCAAGATTTGCTGGTAGTCCAGGCCCCTGACCTGCTTCTGGGTCTTCAAGACCTCAAAGGGGTTCTCCTGGTCTACACTCAGAACGCACACTTGGATGTATGGTGGTTGGAGCTGAGGTGACTGAGGTGACTGCACACTCAGATTCAGCGGGGCTCCACCACGGCACGGCCCAATCCGGCTACGGCGCCACTGAGCCAGATCCGCCCCTCGACGCCCAGGAAGGGATCCAAGGTGCCGAAGAAGGCTGGCTCGAGGGAGGCGTGAACTCCTGGGCTGAGGGACAGGAAGGGTCGACGCAGGCAAATCGAATTGCAGCTCCGCCACCAAAATCACCGAGCCGAGGATCCCGAGTACACGGTAAAGGGCACGGATCTGAAGATGACGGAGCCACAGAGGACAGGCAACGAACCTCTGTAGAAGCCAGCTACTTTCCGAACAGGTCGGGAGTGCGTAAGCTCGCCAGCTGTCCTTTCGTGAGCCTGGGCAGCGCTTTCTTCTTCCTAGTGCGGATGATATCTGCATTTTGGCTCTTATTCAGCCGGTACTATTTGCAGCATCATCCCTTGCTACTTACAAATTGGTCAGTGTGTGTAGCTATGCAATGCAGAACCATAGACTGAGTCACCACGCAGTTCCCTAAAGTCTCAAAAAATCATTGCTTTAGCCGGCCTTCAGCCTTGGCCTTAGTCCCGGCCAGCTAAAGCTCACCACATCTAGAATCTAAAACACCAGTTTAAGACAGACTGTCCTTTGAGGTTTTGGTGGGACATCCCGGCGACATGCTTCGACCAAAGCTGCTAGAACAAGATTCAGAAAGTGTTGCCCAATTGCTTCTTCAGCGACAGTCTGCAGGATCTGGCGGGCAACTTGCAGTGTGCCCGGACGGCCGGATGCTCTGCCGGTGAGCGGATCAGTCCTGAGCAATGAAGGCTCCTCAGCTTCCTGATCACATCCCCAAGCCATCATCACCATCATCATCATCAGGCAAAGACAAAGACAACAGAAGCTTCAAGCGGCAAGTCGCTGCATCTTCGTTTTGATGGTGTCCAGAGGCTGTCCCAGCAGAGTGGCGGTTGCACCTGATTCACGCAAGACCTGGCCACAAACCACAGTAGCTGCCATCCTTCACATACCAAGCTTCCATAGACGATGCCGCCGGCAGCAGCCCACAGCAGCTCCTCTTGGACGGTTCCTTGTCCTGACGAAGTGACGAGCAGGCACTCCAAAATTCTAGTTGAGACCCTCGGGCACTCTGCTCTGGACACAAAACTAGTCCTGCGAAATCGCCGAGCCTTGCCGCTGACATCTCGGCAAAGAGGATAAGGACGCCATGTGATGGCTTGCTAAGCTGAGCAGTCACGTGGGCAACTCGCTGTCAGCAAACTTTGTTTGCGAACGCACACGACACACAGGCTGCAAACGCTAAACGTCCGACTTGCAACTGACTGGGAGCAGAAGCAGTGCAAACGCCAACTCGCTCCAAGGCTGCGGAGAGACAGGCAAATCGTGATGACCTGCACTTCCTAATGCAGCTTATTTTGTCGACTGGGACAGATGACTCCTGCCGGGACAGTCCCGCCGCAAGGCAGGCTCGAGTGCCCCTGCAACTGCACACTCACGGAGGAGCAAGGCGATGGGCTATCACATTGCAGCACCTCGGCGTGCATCGATCGAGTTGGGTCTTGAAGACAGCGCAACAATCACACAGCTCTGATCTTATCCACTTATCAACGAGGCAGTGGCTCGGTCGGCTGGGCAGAACCACCATGGGCGGTGCCGGGATCTGCACGCATTCAATGTGGAAGGTCTACTGCATCGAAGGTCAAGGCTATGCTGCAGAACATCTGCACAACGACCAGATCTCCCGTTTTCTTTCAGAGCGGGCCGCACGGAAGTCAAGAGGATCTGAAGTCCTCATCACCCCTCGGATCACCGTCGGCAACTTCGGCGAAGCCGCTCGTGTCAGCCGGCATCGTTCGTCCCGCTCTTGTGACAGGCAGAGGCCTCATCCTGTGCATGTTGTTCCGCCCAGAAAAGGTGGCAATTTGCATGGCCGATTAATGCAAAGCTTTGCACGCAAATGTCCTTCTTCAGCAGCTTGGTGCCGGACGTAAAGCCGCCTGACCACTGCACTTGGGAAGCTAGGACTAGGAGATATTAGGAGTATCGAGAGTTCGGTCAGGTTTGGTCTGGGAAGGAAGCTGCTGAGGTCGAAAACAGTCAGCAGCTGAAATAACAACCAGAACAAGATGGCCGCTCTGCTCAAGACGCTACGTCTTCACGATGGATTACCCCACCTGTGAAGCTCCGCGAGCTGCTGCCTCGCAACCACCGCCGCCGCCTCCGGCTCCAGAGTCGGGTTTCCCAGGACGTCGACGCCTTTCCGTGCAGGGGCCGAAGGGAGCCGTCATGAAAGAGCCCTGTTCAACATGGAACCGAGGGCATTCTGTGTGCTGCGAGTGGGAGGATAGCCCCTTCCACCTGGCATGTCACGGGCGGTGATGCGCGCTTGCGCCAGCGTGGGCTCGCCTTGCAGTAGGGACCCGCCATCACGGGACACATGCTTGCTCAGGTTGAATGGCGGATACAGTTGGCTTTTCGCAACTGGCTATTGGTGCCTTCCACAAGCCTGGCAGTGAGCAGCAAAGGCACGCCGCGCAACAGCCAATGCCGGATCTTCTTCCCAGGAGTCACATCGGCTCGCGAATCTGTCTCTGCCTGAAGAAGCCGCAAGATGGAAAGAAAAGACGAGAAGCCTGAACTCCTCCCGCGGCCCCTTGGTGGTTTTGAGTCTGGCACCCTGACGCGATCCGTCCATTGCTCCCTCAGAGACTCCGCATTGCTCGCCGGAGACGTCAGGAGCTTCGCCAGCGCTTCGCACCACTCGAGGATCTGTCTCACGGACCGCTGGCCAGCTTCATCCTGAGCTCAAAGAACCGGACCGCCGGACCGGATGCGAGGCAGCCGCTCTGCACTGCCGCTTCTGCCAAGTGCATGTCGAGTGGCGCCTTTCCGGTCTTCATAGCGAATCATGGGTATGATGATCACCTCATATCGAGCAATGTCATGTCGTCACAGTGCAGTACTGCACCTCAAGCCAATGCTGCTCTCTCCAGCCTGCACGCATGCTAATCGTGGTGGCAGCACGATCCCAACATCGTCACCTGAGTCGCAAGACACATCGGTCAGCACCTTAACATAATATCGCTTCAGTTTGTGAGCTGCGCTTGTCCAAAGCATACTCCAGTCTTACAGCCACCCCGGCCCTCGCCCGATGGAGAAGACACACACCAAGCCACTGTGAGCGCAAATAGCAGCGGCCAATACGCGACAAGACAGCGAGAAAGCCGTCAATGAACACACCTGGAAAGTCCAGATCATTGCGATGCTACTGCGTGTGCTGCCTCACATCCAGAATGCAACGGTGGTGGCTGTTTGATGCATGCCTGCGAAAGCTCAGAAGAAATTCAGGTCTGATGTGCAGCCCAAGGTCGTGGTTGACGCATTTCCCCTCAGAGTCGGCCGTGCAATATCCTCAGCTGTGCTCTAGTCACACAGATGCAGACAAACCGGGATCTGCAACGTGTGTGCGTGTGCGCGTGTGTCCGATAGCATGTGCGCTTCTGCTAACATCGAAGTGTGCAGTGATGCAGCGACAGCTAGCTTCCGAGCGTCGCATGTTGAAGCCTGAAGCTCGCTGCGGGTCCAATTCATGCACGGCCGCCACTTCCAGGGAGGTCCGTGTACCGGGAATCGCCCTCGGTGGAGACACGATGTTGCAACGCGCTCAGCCGTGCAAGGTTCTCTAGCAAACAGTTCTTTTAAGGAGAGCTTCACTTCAACCGTCGTCTTCACACCATCCAGCGAGGACCTGCCCTTGCGACTCCGCGGGGCAATGGCCAAGAGCTCGGCACAGAGGCCTTGGCTTTTCCAGCAGAAGGAACGGAGCATGCATATGCAAGCTGCTAAGCCTGCTAAGCTTAGCCACGCTCGTAGAGGGAGGCGATCTTCTCGGCGAACTCTGAGGTGTCCTTCTCTGAAGCATGGGCTGCATGTCCTTCTTGGACATACAGCTCCCGGCCTCGAAGGAAGGGCAGTGGCCTCTTCGTGCTGTTAGGCGTTACTGCGGAGGCCCATCGTGTCAGCACCATCGGAAGGTCACGAACCGAGTTTACCCAGGATTTGCCCATCACCTTGTACAAGAGCGGCTCGCATGCAGTCCGTGCTTCCAGCTGGACCTCATCTCGTAGTGTGTCGGCAGACTGCTTGCCTTCACCGTGTGCGAGGATTGGGACGGCAAAGGGCTTTGCCCCCAGCAGGGAAAGTTCCATGTCTAGCCAACGGCGCAGCTCCTCCCAGAGGTACATACCGCATGGGGCAATCACTGCTGCACCTGTTACATCACTCTCCTCCGCCAGCTTCCCTGACGAGATCAAGTGCCGATACCACTCCACCAGATCGGCGGATCTACTGGCGCCCGGCAACTTCCCAAGCGCATTGACTACAACGGAGGGAGCCTGCGCCGCCCCCTGCACTGAATCAGTAGCCGGGTTCTTGCCATAGCCGCCTTCCATGGGCCCGCTCCGAGCCTTCCGAGCTTCCATGCGCAAGGCTTCCTTGCTGAAGGGGCCGAGATCCGCATCGCAGAGGGTTGCATGGCAGCAGGTGCGCCCGCGCAGGTCTGGTGGACGCCGTTTCGGCCCGGCGCGGGCTCGGCGGGCTCGAGGATCCCGCAGACCCTTGGAGGCTCGCTGAAGTGACTTTCCGTGCCAGTACCTGCTGTGCGAAGCTCGACGGAGTCAGTAAGCCATGTCAAATATAGATGAAATACCAAGAATTACATTGAAAGGATACAGTTGATGAATTTATAATCTAATCCTAGTTGTATAAGAGGAGCGGTGGAGTGGTCAATTGAGTCACAGTGGATTGA